TGAAATGCGTCCCACCGAGCCAGGCTTAACAGACTTAAGGATTCTGAATGTGACTAGATTATGTCACAACCGTCAGATTCACAATACACCTGCACTAATTGATGATTGATGATTGAGCTAAGGTGAAATTCCCAAATTTAGATTTTTGGTCCAAAATTTAGAATGATGTGAAATGCGTCCCACCGAGCCAGGCTTAACAGACTTAAGGATTCTGAATGTGACTAGATTATGTCACAACCGTCAGATTCACAATACACCTGCACTAATTGATGATTGATGATTGAGCTAAGGTGAAATTCCCAAATTTAGATTTTTGGTCCAAAATTTAGAATGATGTGAAATGCGTCCCACCGAGCCAGGCTTAACAGACTTAAGGATTCTGAATGTGACTAGATTATGTCACTGCCATAAATTTCACTATACGCCTGCACTAATTGATGATTGATTATTGAGCCTAGGTGAAATGCCCAAAATTAGATTTTTGGTGCAAAATTAAAAATGTGATGAAATCTATGCCTAACATACCAGGCTTACCAGACTTAAGGATTCTGAATGTGATTATAATATGTCACTGCCATAAATTCACGATACAGTAGCTAGCTTTATACAGTAGCAAGCTTAGGTGCGAAATGGAAGTATAATGAAACGCCTCCCCAAGGGACAATGCATAGCAATCATAAGGATTTTATTTCTTCATGAGTGATGTTCCCCTACTAGTTTCATATCCAAGTTTTAAAAATCATAACCAGTTAGTTGGATCAAAATGTAATTCCGGAAATTGGTTCTAAATGGAATTACAATTTACCTTCCTATCAAATCAGTAAATGGATATAAATCACTCAGTTTTTTCGTGAGTAATGCTCTCATGACTAACTTCATAATGATGTTTTAAGAACAGATAGATGATAATTTTGCCAAGTAGAAATTCCGAAATTGGTGCAAAATGTAATGAAATGACTTCCTATGAAAACAATTGTAGCACTTATAAGGATTGCCGATTGTTTATATGTAATGATTCAGCTACTAACTTCATAATCAACATTTAAGGTCTGATAGTGGATCATTGAATAATATTAAAAATTCACAAATAAATTCAAGATCAAAAACAAGTCGTAATGCTGCCCAATTACTTCAGCTCAAACTTAAGATTACATATAGCTTGAATCATTTTCAATGATTACCAAAGTATCATTTATCATTGTTGCTGAAGTTTATTTTTCATCTTAAGAAGACACATTAAGATAAAAACTTAAATACTCACTTATTCTGAGTATTCATGTTTTAATTAATGTAACGTCCGAGAAGGTATCTGGTGAAACCATGAGTATGATAATAATTACTGAATTTTTCAAGTTACTCCCAGTCATTTTCTGTAGCTGTGTCTTTTAATAGTCCCTTATTCATTATCTTATATTGGTGTGTTGGAAAAACGGAATCCAATTTTTTGGCTTTAGCATTTTGATTGCACTACAATTTTCAAGATATGATCTTTTCAAAAACAGTTAACTTTCATGACATTTCTCAATTCAATTTCTTTAATTTGATGACAAACTCTCTTAAGAGTTAAGGAAGATTTAGTGACTTAGAATATGTTGCTTAATTTTAAGATTTAATATTGCATTTTAGCAACAAATCAAGTATCGAATAAAAGATGCTTTTTAGTAGTACTAGTTGTTCCCAGTAGTTATTTAAGCAATAGTTCTATGTGTGTGCTTGGCATGGCCATAAATTGGCTGAATTGAATCGATGGTATGATCTTTGAATAAACATGAGCAAATCATTCACGAATAAAATATTAACTTTGACATAAATATTGGTCATTCAAATCATCGCAAACCATTCAAATTTTTAATTATGATTTTGCTACTTTCATCCTTCTTTGAAGTTTTGTGATAATGCATTTGAATATGCGGTGAAAATAAATTTAGTTGAGATACTAGGATTGCTGTAACAAATGACTTTGGAAAGTTAAAATTGATAGAAAACCTACGTAGATATTTCTATTCGAATTTTGGCTGTAGATGGATAGTCCAAATTGTCTATCGATTTGTTTAATTATATCCATCTTTCTTCTTATTTGGATGAAAATTTTCAAATCTTAATACCACATTTGGTAGTAACGATGTTAGACAAAAATCTCAACTGTTTTTTATCTCCAGACCGTACCTAAATAATTTAAAACTTACAAAACATTCAATACATACCAGTGAAAGTAGAGAAATAATTTGAAAAAAAATCTGGAAAATCCATCCAGATATCTAACAGTAGATTTTTATGATGGAAAATTGAAAGAAGCAGAAATTGGAGAAACAAATTTAGAACAAAGAAACAGAATTTTCTGGTCCACCTAAGATTATTATTATAACATGAAGAAAACTTTGGAATAGCGTAACGATTTCGCCTGCAGGTTTTTTAGATCATGTCTTGGGGTCGATAAAGTCAAACAAATATGGCAAACAGATTCCTCCTATAGCTATAAAAATATCCTTTCTATTGGTATCACTTACTAGATTCAATGTAGGACTTTTGCGTTTTGAAATTTTGTTAGCGTTTACTAGCAAAATTTGAGAAATAAAATGTGTCAATTTGAGAGATAAGGTCTCAAGTATAGTTTCACAGTAATCTACAGGCGTGTAAAAGTGTATTATGACTGTTGAGTTTAATTTTTGTATCGCCACCACAACATTTTTAGAAAACGGCTCAAATCATAGAAAAATTTGCTGCAAATTTTCCTACTGCATCATGGTTGTTTCAATGCCTATCATAGACAAAACTATTATAAATGTACTTCCATATCCTTTAGACTACTAAGATGATTGAAAATTCCCCATTTCTGTCTTGGTCAAGGACCTCCATGTAATGTTCTAATGAGTGTATATTAGCTAAGCTAGGAACTAAAGAAGAAGAGACTATATATAAACCGATAATATTAGATGATAGATAAGGGAATGTAGTTCCATGTATCTTGGTAGCATAGATGATAGTAAGGTAATATAGCCTATACCTGACATATATTAAGTTTTGTAATTAAACAACCCAAAGGAAACGTTATTACAAATGGATGAAGACAGAAATACTGAAGAACAAGAATTAACTTTAGAAGCAGAAGAAGGATATCATGGAGACGATGAAGAAGAAGAAGATCAATCAATTTCAGAAGAATATGATCAATTAACTTTAACAGAAGAAGTTTATCTTGCATCAGGTGAAGATGAATGTACATACTGATGAAGAAGATTCATTAACTTTGGAAGAATATGATGTCATGAAAAATGTCGTACCTGAAAGTTTCATAATGTTTTAAATAAGTTAAATTTAAAACATCATGAAACTTCCAGGTACGACATTCAATAAGTTAATTTTCTATCTTGTTCAAACGATACAAAATCAACCAGTCGATGAACTTTCTTATTTAGTGTACAAATAATCTAATGTGCTTTTCAGGCCCAAAATCTTTAATCCATAGTATGCTCTAGTGGTTAGAATCTCAACTTTGTGTTATAATTTTTTCTATTGGTCTCCTACTATTTTACTTGAACATTTACGAACAAGCTTAAGTATTATACAGGAAATGCACAAAATATATTTTATGCCACACAATAGAAAACTTATTTTGTATGTGTTTTTTTTTAACTTTATCTTGTACGTTTTCGACGATATCTTAACCGAAACCAGCCTTGAATCAAGGCAAATTGAAGTTCATGGGTGATTGTTTGAAATAATGCAAGGTAAGAAATTAGTATTCCAAAAAATTCATCGATATCAATTATAATTCCAAACATATGCACAAATTCAATTCCATGTGGTCTTTTAAGTATAAAAAAAATTGTATTTTCTTTTTTATCAACCAGAGCTTAAAACACCATTTACATCAGATGTCCCTTAAATATATAGATAAGTCTATAACTGCTATAGTTATACATAAATAATTAAAAAATTAGAGATAAAGAGACAGTACTTGAAGCAAAAAACACTTAAGTAAACCTTGTTAGCGGAATTTATGCATGATAAATCGCAAAATTCAGGTAACCTGCTTGAGATTATTGTTGAAAAATTTGTTAAAACGGCTGATCATAATGAAGTAGTCATTAATTCTGGAGAAATTACAAGACTTGTTGATGTTACACAGGCTTTGGTCTCCATTGTAGTTGACAATACCGATTCAAAAAACAAATTTGCAAAATAGGTCAACGATACTTTAGTTGGTTTTGGTGATACTATCGTCTTTGGGGTTAAATCATTCCGATGATTCAGAATCACACATCTCCAATATCTTCTGTCATAATCTGACAATCGTGTGTTGAAAACATCAGTAGCATCTGAATACTAGTAGTAGATCATAAAACTTGGAAATAATCAGATTAAAGAAAAAAAATCAAATTGCTACTTCTGCTGTTATTCATGAAATAGTATAAATAATTGTGAAATTTATAAAGTTTTAATAATTTTAATAATTTATTAATCTATCTATAAGTCTAAACCAATTATTTATCTATAAGTTTTACTATCTCTTTAATATATATATCAATGCAAATCTTTTTAAGCTAAAGAATGAAAAATAATATTATTATTGAAACATTTCCCATTCTTTTGGTTTTTCTAAACCCATTTTATCATAATATTTTTTACCACAAGAATAACCTCTAAAAGTAAAATCATCTTCAGGTTTACAAACACATTTATGATCATATCTAAATTTATCATTTAAAGGACATTGACCATAAACTCCATGTCTATAACCAATATCATCAAAATAATGAATTTGATTTTTATCAGCAAATAAACTTATTGCAATTGAATGAATTGGAGCATCACCCCATCTTTCATAAAAAAATCCACCTTTTGAATCTAAATAATCAAAATATTTTTTATAAGGTTCAGAATTCCAAAATTTTAATGAAGCAATTTCAAAATTTGTCCAAAAATGACATAAATTATAAGTATTACCATTATCATTAGATATAAAATTTAAAAAATTATTTTTTGATAAATATTGAGGATTTAAATTTATAAAATCTTTTGTATGTTTCCATAAAGTTGGTATAGTATTTTCAAATTCATAAATTGATATTGTAAAACCATATAATTTATTATTTTTTTCCATAAATTCAAATAAATCATAATTTAAATCACACATTATATCAATTCCTGGTTCAACTCTCCAATAATAATCATAATCTTTTAAAAGTTCAGATCTCCAAAAAAATCCAGATTCATATCTACACATATGTCTATAACTTTCTGAATCTCCATAAATTATATTTTGTAATTTCATATTTTTTCTTGAATTTTCTGCTTTTTTTAAATCAATCCAATTTGGATATGACCAATGTTCTTTTGGTATTAAACCATATTTTGTTTTACCTGATACTATTGATGTTGTTAAATCTTTAAATTCTTGAGTAAATTCAACATCATTTAAAAATACCCAATCATAATTATATTTATTATTAAATCTATCTTCAACTGTTCTTATTGATTTTATTAATTCATAAAGTTCTGAATTTCTTGCTAATGTTACAAAAGTAGCTTTAACTTTTTTATTTGATGAATTTGATTCCTCTTGAATTGTATTACTTGTTACAGATTGTTCTTGATTTATTTGTTGTTGATAATTTTTAACTTCTTCTTCTTTTTCATTCGATTTTAAATCTATCGGATTAGATGGATCTAGTATTTTATCTTTTTCATTAGATAGTGTATTAGATTTAAATTGATTTGAATTTTGATTATTTAATTGTTGTATTTGATCATTTGATTGTGATATTATTGAATCAGATGTTTTAAAATTAAATACATTTCCTTGAGTTAAAGTATAAATCACTCCAAAAGTTAATATAAATGCTATATATTTTATATATGAATGTCTTGAACTTAGTAATGAAAAAGCTTTCATTTGTTTTTAAAATGCTAAATGCTGATGCAAATATAGTTGATTGGTAGGATTGGTCCAAAGTATTGAAATCGATGATATGATGTGATATGTTGAATATTATTCTAATTTTTCAATATTTTAATGAATTTATGGCTTATGATTTTTATGATTTTATGATTTAATTTTATTCCGTTATTCTTTTTTTTCAATGCAAATGAAGTTAAAATCATAAATAATTTTTAGACTTTTTCAATTTGATTTAAAACGTGCTAAAAAGTAAAGGAGATTTAAGAATATAGCTTTGTTTGGAAATGAAATTGGAAGAATAAAAAATTGAAATGATCTTTCTTTAAAATGTGGAAGAGTAAGTAATTTGATGAAAAATTTTAAAAGTTGTTAATTAAACGAATAAGAAATTAATTAGAATAATAAAGAGAGGTCAAAAATGGAAATATAGGGTTTAATTTTAAATTGACTAGTGTCTATTACTAGATATTTAAGAATAATGTAATTTTATAGAAGCTTTTTATTATTAAATTTAGGACTTTATACATTTTCAAGTATTCTATATACAAATCATTGAAATGAAAATACGTAATTCAACATTTTTATTTATTTAGTAGATCCGATCTGTAATCATTCTTTATACTCGATCCCTTTGTTGTATTAATCATTTCATGGACCCAGTAAACATATTGTTGAAGCATACTATGTACAAAACCGAAGTTAAAATTAGAAGGGGTTATTCTATTGTTGCAAAATAGCAATAATAATATTTTAATAATAATTTATTATTTAAAAATAAAATATAATTTTAAAATCTGAAACAAATAATTTTATTATCAGATTAAATACAATTGTTAAAATTTATTAATCACACCATTATTGTTGATTATATCATATTTCATATAAATTTCAATCTCAGAACTAAACATTCTTAGACTCTATTGATTCTTATCCATATAAACTCATTGTTTTCACTTGTATAACCTCTCCTTATTATTATTACTATTAGGATTATTATAATTTAAAATCTTAGCCTAAATTACTAAAATTAAGATTTATTAGATTTATCCGATTTTGTACCTGAGATTTTTGTACTATATAAGATTCATAAGATTTATATTAATACCCCTTACTTTTGATTAATATAGTTGTAATAATATTCATTCTTGACTAGCAAATTAAAAATTCTATACTTTCACAGTCAACCTTATTTTAATCGTCAAATTGAATTCAAGAACTTATTCCCCAAATGTCGTTGATTTGTTTCAAATTCATCAGCCTTGTTTTCAAATCATTAATAGAAAGGGGTTACTTCGTTATAATAAACGCGACACGACCAAGTTTTTAACATTGTCCCACTTGAAAATTTGATTCTCAAGTTCACTCAGACATGAACTAAACTAATTAATGTATGTTGATATGAAGAGAGACAATCGTAAATAATTAAACTTTCAAGAAAAATATTGAGTGAATTGCATGTTGTATAATCAATTCATTTATCTTTCGCTCGTTATTCTCCATTCACTAGGCTTATATACGATCATATATCCAATGATATCTTGTCTCAGTTAGATTGGTTCATGATTCAAAGTTTTAGTATCAAGACCATTAATTAGAACTCCTCGACCAAAGAAAAATATTGACCAAATTAAAGAAGAAATGTTTGATGAATCCATCCTCCTTGAAGAATCTTCGAAAACTTTTCTTCAAAGAAAAAGAGCATTGACGAGAAGATTATCAATCGTTGAGAAAATCCAATGTCTGGATTGGTACAGAGAACAGATTTCTTAGTTGAACTTGCAAATGAAACCGAAAACCAAATCGCATTAGATTTTTTGTAAAGTCAAGATGAACTAAGTCCAGAAGATAATATCAAAATTAAAAGATGGGGAAAGAGTAATAATCCAAGATTAAGAGAAAGGATGCTAAAAAAAAAACATGAAAAGTGTCGTTCCCGACCACCGGAGTATACTATCGCTCCAACTGAAATATGATTTTCCACTGGCAGAGTTGAAGAATTGTATATTCAAGTGGTTAAAATCTCAACTTTGTGTTATAATATTTTCTATTGGTCTCCTACTATTTTACTTGAACATTTACGAACAAGCTTAAGTATTATACAGGAAATGCACAAAATATATTTTATGCCACACAACAGAAAACTTATTTTGTATGTGTTTTTTTTTAACTTTATCTTGTACGTATTCGAATCAAAGTACGTCGAAGACATTTTAACCGAAACCAGCCTTAAAAAGGCATGAAGTTTTGGTAGTGTTTGAAAGTATTAATAGGCCTACAGGGTAAACAAATAGAGCTACATATTTAAAAAGAATATCCTAGCTCCCTAATTATAGCGCAAATCACCCACATGTTGTTTATATTTAAGGCTTTTTTTCAATGCGTTTTTGATTTTCATTCCAAGAACAGAACAGTTTAAATCACCATGTTTGGTGTTTTGTCTACTTATTCTAGTGAGTTAAAACCTAGTCTCTAATTTTTTTAAACTAGACAGTGGTGAAATTCAAGCTAATTTTTAAGATATTTCATGTTGTGTTTTCATGAATGAAGAATTATAAATTATCGGTCATTAACCTGACTAAATAATCATAATTGTATTAATATGCCATTAAATTATTCATTATCTAATCTATATAACTATATATGTATTAATTACTTTTATTCAACATCAATCTTACCTTCATCTTTTAATTGTTTATACTTTTTTAATAATTTTCTATTCAATTTTTTTCTTGATCCATGATGATTTTCAATAAATTCATTTGATTTTTGATCATTTTGATTTTGATTTTGATATTGATATTGATTATTATTATAATTATTATTATTATTATTATTAAAAAATGATTTTGAATTTCCCATTAATTTTTCAAATTCTTTAATTTCTTTTAAAATTTCTAATTTTTCAAATTTTTCTTTATTTTGTTGAATTATAAAATTTTCATTAAATTTTTTAAAACCTAATGGATCATCTAATTGATATGGTGGACTACAAACTAATTTATCTTCAGGTATAAAATCCCATAAATAATTATCATTTATATTATTTAATGCAGGATTTAAATTTTTTAATCCTGATAATGATTTTTTTAAAGGATGTTGTAAAGTATGATAAATTTCATTTTGATCTGGTTCCATTTGTGAACTTATTTCTTTACCTAACATTATTAAATGTTTATCTTTTTCAGATTGTTCAGTAGTTGTTTGACTATTAATTATAAATGATTTAATTTTTTTATCTAAATCTTTTGATTTTTCAGCTTTAAGTTGTTTTTTTAATTGTTGATTTAAATCAGGTTTTATAAATTCTCGAGGTATTATTAAATTTATACCTTTATTTACTGGTTTTAATTGATTTAAAAATATATTATATTGTCCTAATTCTTTGAAAATCTCTTCAAATGATTTTGATTGTTGATGTGTGGGTATTTTAGGAAGGTCTGTAATATATGGGTTTGAAGATGAATTTGATGAACTTGTCATTTGAGTCAGATTGGTTGTTGATTCATTTGTTTTCTTTCTTCCAAAGATCTTTCGATTATCTTTTGATTTTAATTTCGCATTTTCAAATAGTTTTTTATTCACTATAGTTTTAGTTGAGTTTGATAAACTTCTTGATAATCTAGGTAGTACCCTTGTCATGATTGATAAATTGTATTGATTAATGGCGAGATTCCTTTACAATCACTTTTAAATTTTATTAAATTCAATGATACTGAAGTATACACTACCTTTTGTGACGTGTCTGGTCTTATATTTCTTGACACTAAAGCCACAGAAAATTATTTAAAATACGTTGAAAATTATTTCCGCATTAAGATAATCTCCGTAAAATAAATTTTCCAATTTTAAACTCGTGGGACCAAAACTATTGAAAAATATAAAAGGATCAGCCAAATCCTTTAAATTGTATGGTAAAAAGAATAACTTTACCTAAATTCAAAATGTCAGTTCATAGAGATAAAATAGATGTATCAAAATTACCACATACTTATGATGGAGAAGTAACTTTAGCAGTAATTGGTGGAACAGGTTTATATGATTTACCAAATTTACATCCAGTTGCAAGATTAACTATATCTACACCTTGGGGATTTCCTTCAGGACCAATTACAATTTCTAAAACTGAATCTGGTTTTCCAGTTGCATTTTTAGCAAGACATGGTCAACATCATGATTTATTACCAACTGATGTTCCTTCAAGAGCTAATATTGCAGCTTTAAAAAAAATTGGTGTTAAAGCTATTATAGCATTTTCTGCAGTTGGATCATTACAACAAGAAATTAAACCAAGAGATTTTGTATTACCAACTCAAATTATTGATAGAACTAAAGGTAATAGACCTTCAACTTTTTTTGAAAAAGGTTTTGTAGCTCATGCAATGTTTGGTGAACCATTTGATTTAAAATTAAATAAATTAATTGCTGATTCAATACCAAGTTCTGGATTTTTAGAAGGTTTTGATAAAGAAGATATTCAACCAAAATTACATACAAAAGAATATACAAATAATAATGAAGATTTAACAGTTATATGTATGGAAGGACCTCAATTTTCAACAAGAGCAGAATCAAAAATGTATAGATCATGGGGAGGATCAGTTATAAATATGTCAGTATTACCAGAAGCAAAATTAGCAAGAGAAGCTGAAATATCTTATCAAATGATTTGTATGTCAACTGATTATGATTCTTGGAATGAAAATGAAGAACCAGTAACTGTTGAAACTGTTGTTGGTAATTTAAAAGCAAATTCTTCAAATGCTTTTAAATTAGCTTCTCATTTAATTGATGAATTTTCTTTAAAAGGTAATGAAATTGGTAATGATTTAAAAGGTTCAATGAAATTTGCTGTTAGTACAAGTCCTCATGGTGTTAAAAAGGAATTATTAGAAAAAATGCATTATTTATTCCCTGGTTATTGGGAAATTTAATTTTAAAGATAATTTTTAAATTAATAGATTTTGAAAACCAACATGTATAATTAATAGATTTAGAGATACAATTATGAAGTAATAAATTATAGATAATAAATATGTTTCAACTAGAAAGTATTCAATTAATGCGTATTTACCCGTAAGCCAAATTTATTTGGGGATCAAACCAGAGTCAGTATTTTCAAAAATTGAACTACTGGTTACAAGAAACAATTACCGAAATGATTATATGCATTGGTATAAATATTTAAGCTAAACTTTTGATTGATTTGGAAAAAGAAGTAACAGGAACCAAACCAGAATTAGTATTATTTTGAGCAAACTCAATTTCATTCCATTCATCTTCTCGAGCATTGTATCCACTATAGATGAACCAAAACAATACACCAGCAATGAAACAAGATACACCTAAGCCAGAATAAGTCCAAACCATTTTTGGATCAGTACTGACAGGAGATAAAGCAATTCCAAGAGCTGAACCAATAGCATTAGTGAAAAGGAACAACGACATCACAAATGACTTCATATTGACTGCTGCTTTACTATAGCTGTACTCCAATCCCACAACGCTAGAAAAAATTTCACTTAGTGCAATAAGACAGTATGCTGGAGTCTGCCATGCTATGTGGATGTTGTTTCCGTTGGTGCAATTGCTTGGATGATCAAAACATGGTCCTGCAGAATAAATAAAATGTTGTAAAACAGCCGCGTAAATCATTGCACTGGTAGCGAACATGAAACCAAAAAAGATTCTAGTGATAGGTTTGAACGGAGTCCATTTTCTGATGAATGGATATATAATTTTCTCCATTAATGGAATAAATAAGATGATTGAAAGTGAGTTGAAAGCTTGTAATATATCATTTGGTAATCCGTGATTGTTCATACTTCCTGCAGATGACACAAAATTGTTAACCATTTGTCCATAAGTAACCCAATAGAATGGGTAAAATAAAAAGATCTTGCATGCATAAAGAGTTCTTTTTATTTCATCTGTGGTGATTACGTTTGATTTGACATTCTTGAAAGTAAAACCATCCCTCATAGCTTGGAATGAACATCTAAAGGTTTCATTTATAATTCTATCTCCAACTGGAACCTGAACTGATCTATTTTTCCCAACAATTAAACAGAATATTGCAATGAAAAAAAAGCAAAATGTAAGCAAATAAGCAGCATAATAGGCCACGTTTGCACGTAAGGATGTAGTTGCCAATACTGATAATGAACCCACGTTAATACACATGTAGAAGATAGCAAAAATTCGCTGGATGGTTAAGGCATTAGTGACAATAACTCTTTCCCCATTCTTTTCAACTCTAATATATGCTTTTCTCTTTGGAACTTGATCAGCTAAATATGGTGAAACATTAGTTTTAATTAAACCAGTACCAATACCAATGATAATGATAGCAGTAATAAATCCACCTGTTGCAATACTTTTGTTCGTAATGGAAGGGATTGAAGTAATAAACAAGATGAAAATTCCAATTGAATAGATAATACTTGCAACAAAAATTGTTTTGTACTTTCCCCAATATGTATCTGCAAGCCAACCACCAAAAATAGGAGTAACATAACACCAAAATTGGAAAAAATATGATAAAGCTGTAGCACCTTGTTGTCCCAAGTCTAACATACCACTTGGATTATCATCTGGACCATTTTGCATATAATTTTGAAAAGGAGCTGATAAACCATAATAAGAAAATCTTTCAGCTAATTCAACAATGGCAATTAACCAAGCACTTAAAGGAATTTTTCCAGAAACATGTCTTAAAGTTTTCATTTCATATTCAGTTGGATCTCTCCCCTCATCATCTTCTTCTAAGGAACTATTCGATTCATCTTTTGAAATTAAAACTTTTTCACTACCTTGTTCATCATCTAATGATTTTGTGACTGTTGTTATATCATGTTGTTTTACATTGGTTGTAGATGATGTTTCGAACTCGTCTGTTGCAGTTGTGATAGCAACCGATTTTTCTGGATGTGACATAGGAAGTTGAGTAGTTTATGGAATGTTTTGTAAAAATTTGAAGATCTAGGATAATATAAGCAAACGATATCTAATTTAAACAAAGTTGAGATAGCAAAACTATGTTATCACGATATCATATTCCTCTTCACCCACAAAAATTTTTTTAAGACACTCTTATCTAAAGCGAATTAATTCCAGCTGACATAAGAAGGTCAAGAATTTTGTCAAATAAGTAATTAAAACTCTAGAATTTGTGCTAGGGTATTTTATACAAGTCGCATTTGATCAACTTATACAACAATTGAGATTCAAAATCCGGATCTAGTATTTCGCAACAATTAATTTAAATAAGCTGTAAAACCTTACACAAAATCTAGGATGAAACATAATAGCTTTATGCTAAGAAAAAAAAATACATGAAAAAATTTCATCTAATTTAACAAAACCAAAGCGATGATCATTTATCATAAGGCTCAACAACATACCAAGAAATTAATTCTAGCACGGCACAAGTTTTTGAGATCTATTGTATGATGTTAAGGGCATTTGATCCATGACATTTTTTCTTGTAAAATGGTCCTTATCTTCACCCATCGCTTCGACAAAAAACACGGAAAGTGCAAATCGAGTCAACTGCGGAATAATTCAACTAATGTTTCTTTGAAATTATATTTAAGCAATGCAACCAGTATTAATGAAACACAAACACTAACAATGTCAAATTTAATGTTCCAGAGAGAAACGAATCCAATACTTTATTGAAACGTTTTGTACCTAATTCTTTTCATGTCAAAAATTAGATTTTAATTATTATTACTCCATTTATGTATGTAACTTTTCTTAAATTTAGTGAGTATTCACTGAATAAATGCCGTACATCGATATTTTTCAAAAATTCAAGTAATTGGAAACGGAGCCGACAAACATTTAAAACTCTCTTTTGATTTTTTGACTATGCCGTTCACAAAATGTTTAGTGGGGAAATTAATAAGTCAGGTAAAGTAATTTGGTAATATATACGGTGAAAATTTTTAAATTTACTGCGAAGTTGACTATATAGATTGTTCATTATCGTTCAGTTTCAGTAGATGAAGTCGAGTTTTTCCATCTTCAAATATTCTAAATTTAAGGAAAAAACACTTCAAGGGACCCTTTTAAATTCCTCAAAGTGCAAAAAGAGGGTTTCAAATAGTAAGAAAATGGATTAGGGTTGCTTGTAATAACTAGTTCGTAATACAAATTAAAATTTTACCGTAGATTGTGTAGTCATTACAATGTTTTGAAAAATTAGTCTCTTCACTTTGGTATAGAATTCTCGACTTGAACTACTTGATCACTCGAACTACTCCATTGGATATTTTTAAAATACCTACATGGATGGTAAAAATAATATTGAATCCTTAAACATTTTGTGCACTACCAAATTGTATCTTGATTTTGACCATAAGCATGGAGCAATAAATACAATTAAAAAGTAAGAAACATCATGTCATGAACTTATCAAAGCATTCTGCATATTTTGCTTAACTTTGATTTCAATGTTGGGTCACTAGACCTTAGTTATATCTCAATCTTTAATTGATCTAATTACAATGGTTAGACTTATAGTGCCATTAAATTCACGGTTGCCAAATGTTCATTCAGATCCTGATTCTAATACTTCTTCAATCAAACTAGATTTAGTAATATAGAAAGTTGATTAGTCAATTTATTTTATTCACAATGTAAACTTTATACATGATCACTGTAACCTTTATTCCTGATAACAATTGATCAAGAATAAAATTAACTGATCAAGAATGAAATTTACACTGTGAATAATGTAAATACTTTGAGTTGAATGAATAACTTACCAATATTCTATTCAAGCTTAGATGATCAAGTGGTATACAATTTATCTTCACCAATAGTAAGAATCTACTGAAAAAGATCAATTGAATCCTTCTCATTAAAATGTCTTAATTTAATTGCAACATTAACTGAGCTTAGAAAACAATCCATCTATCATATTAGACCCAGTTTCATTTACCAACCTTCCAAAGTTATTTAAGTCGAAGCCCGTCTCTTCCAACCATTTAATTCTAAGAAATCCAATACTTTGTTATAGTTATAATTTAGAATGGGTGTCTTTTACTTATTCTTCTGTAAGCTTTATAATATGCAATGATCAAAGTTTCTTTGATGAGTTTTGATTCTGATGATTTCATTCTTTCCAATTAAAATTAATTTATGAAACCTTCACTAAATAAGTGTTTCTAAGTAATTTTATACTCCACTTGAGTTTTTTATATGAACTTTCGCAAAGTCTTATCAATTTGTTTATCTCATGAAACTAAAATTTTTCATCCTCTTTTATGAACATGACTTTGTTTATTGAAAGAAATTGAGATCGATATTTAAGTTGAAATTAATCATAAGTCCCTAATTTCGGTGATAATGATATGATAATGATATGATGATGATAAGCATGATAATACCGTTCAATCCTGTAACTATGACTCCTTTGTAGTCATCATGGTCTAATCAACATTCTCCCAAGTTGTTGTGATTTTTGTAAATTTGTGGAGATGTCTAAAACACGTTAATGTCAGAAATAATCAAGTTACGACACATAAAAACTTCAACTCACAAGATTAAAAAAGTATACAACAGATACATTAAGTCGCTAACCCGGGTAAAGAACAAAAAAAAAAAAAAGTTGCAAAATGTGATCTGTAATTTTTCGCAACCAACCTCTATACCAACTCCCACCTCATCATATTACGCATTGAAGACTCTAGGAATGTATGTATACTGTACTTGTGGTTATTTGAAACAAGAAAACACCAGCAGTTTGAATTTATAAATAGTTGTTGACTTTAAAATTGAGATTAATTTCAACTAATTCAAAAATCTAATGATCTTAGAAAAGCGCATGTAAGAGCTCAAATAATGTAACAAATGCTTGTTGAGGAGTAAAATTGGTAATGGTAAGCTAAGAGGAAGCTCCTAGCTATCCTGGTTTTGCACGAGAATGGTCGAATACACGTGAAATAGTGTCTTTAATACTAGTGTAATAAAATGAATTTTGAAATTTAGAATCAAGATGGATTTACAGGTTCAATGTTTGATTTCAACAAAAACAAGCAGCTGTATCAAAAACTTCAGCTCAATTAGAATCTAATTCATTAGCTTTTGATGTAATTTTGTCACATTGTCGTACCATAACAGCTAGAATTAGAAAATTTTGACGTTGGGTCTGAAATCGAGTACAACACATACAAAATTTGAGTTTGATCAATCAGCAATAGAGGGTATAAGTCTTGGGTGCTAGTGCTAAAAGTCTGACATAATTTTTATTCAATTATAATGCTGCAAATATCAAATGTTGTTGATGGTATTGGTGCCTACAAAAATTTTTTATCTTATGGCATTCTTTTGGAACAAAAAGATATCCTGAATAGCTGGTTCCTGATTATATTATCGAAATGGTGCATAATTTGCTTTTTGACTTGTTTGTTGGATTCTGAAGTTGTTGTTAGTTGGCTGGGGGATGAAATAGGGTGCTGAACGACAAAAATCACCTCAGATTGATGGTTTACGATGCTCATAGAACGGTACAACTGAAGTTATTATGAGACTAAGTCTCGAAGATTAGATTGCAGCTATTTGTTTGTCAATGCATCCATTACTTATCACTCAACGACTCAATATTGTTTATTTTTTTAATTCGAAGAAAGTACATGCTAAAAAGTTGAAACAATAAACAGATATTTTTGATGAAAAACTGGTCAGTATGATGACAGCGATTTATATTTATGGAAATACCGAAAAGATAGCAGATGTCTTATCAAAAATCTGATCCTTTTTGGACACTGCTGGCACGATACCCTTTTGCCTTAAAAATGCAATTTTCTCATCACAGGTTTGTCCAAAGCAAATAAGATTAGTGTCAAATCAAAGGGAAGAACATGCTCTATAAATCACCATAAAAAACTTAAAGATTGGCCAAACCTGCCAGAGGTGAGGCACCAAAATCAGTTAGAGAAATTATATCCAAAAAAATTGAAAATTTAAAACTTAAATTGAACTATGATCAAGTAACAACAGGTCCATCAAAGAATATGTCAAATAAAGCTAAGATCTGGGAGAATACATGAAAGTCAAAACGTAAAGATCTAGAAGGAAAGATCATTCTAGCAGCAACATTCAAGTTGACACATAGATAATGGGCTAATCAGGAAATGAACCCATTTTTCTCGACAAAGACTTCCTTGAATGTGATAGCAGAAGTAAGGATGATATTGATTGAAAACAAGTTTTTGATAAGTACTACATGCTTAAGGGGTTACGTAGCTTGTATAGGGAGTATTTACGAAGAATTGCTAAAGAATAGTATTTTGAAAATCATAAAATTGCAAAAAAAAAATTATTTTTTCTTTACCCGGGTTAGCGACTTACATATCATAAAATAATACATCATTAAATGATCGTTATAAACAAATTTTGAAATTAACTTAATGCAAGTAGAAGTATATACTGTAGTGTAATTTAAAAATAATTGTTAATTAACAAATTGTTGACCACAAATTTTCTCTTACATTGTTTAAAATTTGTAATTAATTTAACACAAGTTTAGATAATCGTATTCATAATACATAGCTTACATTACGGATTTTCAATTTAATTAATTTTATTAGAAATAAAAGTAATTAGAGTTAAGATCATCGTAAAAGCTTACATTTAATCATTATCTATTCCACTCTTTATTTGAAACTTCAAATTTCAAATGATCAGTTAATTAAAATCAATGAATTACCTAAAATGGAACCCAATTGTAAAAATATGAAACATGTAAGCTAGTAAATTAGTAAATCATTTCGTAAATCACCTTTAAGTTTATTCGAGCCCCGTAGCATGAACCCATCAAAGCTCAAACTCTACTATGATATGGTAGCATTAATTCTCAGAAAAATTAATGATAGACTAACTAAATCAACGCTTTTTAATTTCACTTTTAATTGTATTTAAACTTATAGATATATTATACTCGACTAAATAAAGCAACCACCTTCATCACTAACCAACTATCACTAAAACCTATCTCAAAGACACAACACCATCACATAAACATACTAAATCCCGAAATAACAATAAAAATGGGGTTAAATTTATTATTTATAGTATCAGGTACATTAATAACAGGAGCAGCAAATTCATTATTAACTAAATTTCAAGATAATCAATGTGTAAGGAATTGTTCATTTAATAATAATAACCTACAAGAAGGAACAAAACCAGAATATTTTAATCAACCTGGTATACAAACTTTACAAATGTTTTTAGGTGAATTATTAATATATTTTGTTTATTTAATTTATCGATATAATAAAATTAAGAATAATCAAATTGAATCTAATAATAATGAAATAAGTTGGTATTCAAATTTGAAATTAGCAATACCAGCAATATGTGATTTAAGTTGTACAACTTTATTAAATATTGGATTAATTTATATTCCTGTATCTATATATCAAATGACAAGAGGTTCAGTTGTTTTATTTGTTGCAATTTTTTCAACTATTTTTTTAAAAAGAAAAATATCAAATTTTAAATGGTTATCATTGATATTTGTAACATTAGGTGTTTGTATTGTAGGATTAAGTGGATCATCAAAAAGTGGTGGTGAAGAAGGACAAAAAGATATAAAAATGATTATATTTGGAATTTGTTTAGTTATTGGTGCTACTTCTTTACAAGGTATTCAATTTGTAGTTGAAGAAAATATATTAGAAAAAAATCCAATTATTCCATTACAATTAGTTTATATTGAAGGATTATTTGGATCTTTGATATTAATAAGTTTAATGATTTTATTAAATTTTATTTTCAAATTTAAATTAACTCAAGAAGAATTTTTAAATTCTCCTTTTAATTTATATGAATCATTTTATCAATTAATTTCAAATAAAATTATTTTGGGTACATCATTTTTAATAATGTTATCAATATCAAGTTTTAATTATTTTGGATTATCAATAACTCATCAAGTTTCAGCTACTGCAAGATCAACTATAGATACTTGTAGAACTTTATTAGTTTGGTTAATTGCATTAATAATAGGTTGGGAATCTTTTAAATTTTTACAATTAATTGGATTTATTATATTAGTATTTGGTACTTTATGTTTTAATGATGTTATAACAGTTGAACAATTTAATTGGTTACCTAATTGGTTAAAAGAAAATGATAAAATAAGTAATCTTGAAGATGAAGAATCAAGAAATTTAATAGATGAAGAAATTGAAGAAAGATTAATAGGTAAATGATGATTTTATGATAATGAGTTTAAAGGTAGGTAGAATTTAGAGCAATAAACTTAGAAGCTAGGTTTAAAATTAATAAAAAGTACATCAAAAAGAGCCTTATACATGTTGATTGATCTCTAATCCGAGAACTATGAGTTACCTCATTTCATGCTTTAAACCGGAAATATTAAATGCATAAAAAACATATTCAAGTGAAACATAAAAGATTCAATAGTAGATAGTATGACAGTTTTTTATAACATGAAGACTAAGGTATAATATGCTGACTGATTTTTAAATTAGACTACATGTTTAAGACAAGTAAGATCTACTTAATTAACTATGTGAAAGATCTAGATCAAGTTCTAGTTATTACGTATAGCACTTTGTGACTTAAAATGTAGATACAAACCGATTCAGTTTAAAGATGAGATTCGAGATACATGAATAAGAAAAATCAATTATATTTATGCATGTAATTTTATAAAGTTTTTTCATGAAACAAATTTTTAAACTTTTGAAAAAGAAATTGGGGAATGAAAATTTTTAATATTTATTACAATTTGATAAAACGTCTAACAAATATTAGAAATTCCTGTTTTGAATTATCTGTTTATTATTACTAAGTGATCAAGAATATACTACAAAAATAACTGGTTAAGTAAGTTTTTGAAGGTGTACCAGCATTATCGTAAGTAATTACTTTCTTATGTTTCAAAAAATAAAAATAAAAATAAAAAAACTTTTTCAATATACGAAATCTGTTTTATTGTACTTTATATTATGTAATATTTATATACAGGTACATAACGGTTACGTAACTGTATTAACTTTTACGTAACACTTATGTATGTATGCAAGCTATATAGGGCATTTATTATATGCAATTATAACAAGCATATACTACATTTTTATTCCCATAAACCAGTAAAACTAGTTCTTGTTTATCAAATAACATCTAAAATGTTGATGATGTGATATTGGAAATGTCAGTTGTTTTTGTAAGAAATTTTTAGTTGTCGTCAAATATGAAACCGTCTTTACCATGTCTAAAGTTGAGCAGAAATTTTTTTTTCATGCATCTTGGCAGATCTCACGATGAAAGTCAATAAAATAAAACTTTATTTTATGAATATTTTATGAAATGATCTACAGACCTTACGCTTAAGCTTACTTAAATCAATGATTCATATTTTGTGGAGGTAAGTGTAACTACAAAATTCAATTCACAAGGTAAAATTATGAAACAAAAATTTTCAAGTGAAACAAATTCTAGATTTGATTGATATTGCCATCTCTACCTAGACTTAAGAGGATTATGAGACAAACAGATTTAAAAAAATTGAAATTATTTTGTAACAAAATTGTTTGAAAAAAAATTTATAAATCTGATGATACTATAAGAGCTTGTAAGAGCTTGAAAAATGTGCTCCTACTTGTTACCATGATTCTCAATTTTATTAGCTTTCAGTACCTTTAAATCAAAATTTACATAGACTTAAAGTATCATCAACTTCAATAATTTTTACTTATTCTTGTATATCTTTTTCAAACATATGCAACTTAATGTAAGAGATTATGTACTCGTCTAATCTTGAAACAAATAGTAAATTATATGAATTTCGGATCAATTTTTGAACGAAACTTAAAATATGGACCAACTTTAATGATTTAAACAAGTTTAACATTTCTTTTGTCTTGATAATCAATGAACTCGCCATTAATTTTGTTTCATTGTTGTTTAAGAATTAAGGCATTTAGTCCAACAAGATAAGGTTTAAACAAGGTTAAAATAAAAACAAATAAACAAAAATTTTTTAGTTTAAGATTAAAACTAAACTGAAACACAAAATTGACAAACTGGCTATTGTTGGAAGGTCAAAAATCCATTTTTGTATACAAATAAGTATTTTGTAGTTATTAGACATGTTGGTTGGTAACTGATATTTACGTCGAATATATTTATTAAATACATATGTGCTATTTAAATAACCTAAGGCATTATGTTCATCATCTCAATATTACAAGATAACCAACTTGATTATTTGATGAAATTGTTTCCAACTTTAAAAGTTTTACTTTCATTTCTTGATCTTTATTTAATAATAATAATGTAGATCAAGTAAAAAATATTCAAATATATTATAGATCCAAACAAAATACTTCAATGATTCACAGTGAATTGCAAAACTGAGATGAAACTAATTCAATAATTCTTATTCAAGTAACTATTATCGACAAAAATCATGAAACATTTTCTAAGTAGTGACTAAAACTATAATTGTAACATGCAAGTAAAAAAAATTTATCGGTTTGATTTTGTAAATTAGATCAGCTTGGATCAATAAAAGAAAAAGTGAAAGTAAAGATCGTACAATCACTTAGGCTAAGGCTAAAATCTAGAACTTTAACTTGTTAAAATAGCAATTTCAAATCATATGCGTGACAATTATGATCCAATTAACTATACGGTAGAAAACGACGATAAAGAAGTGAATTCTGATAGTAGATAAAAGTGAGATCATACCTAGCTTTTGACTTAAAACCTTCCACTTACTGCTATTAGCTCATGAACATTTCTTGCTGTCTCTCAATTTTCTCCCTATCTCTTTCTTTTGCTAATTCTATTCTTTTAATAAGATAACATGGCTGGAAATTTGACGATAAATAATTTTTACTTGTTTAACAATAATAATAATAAATAAAGTTTGTGTAATATTCTAATTTATTTTATTCACATAACTGAAATTTAACCTAATTAGTACAAGTAATCATGTGATTAATATATAAAATATACCTTACGAGGTGTTACCGGAAAAACAAATTCACATGATATTATCCAAATTACACAAAATATAAATTGAAACGATTTTAAACAAAGCTGGTTACGCGATATTTTTATTTTATTTTCTTACTAAGTTACACAAAACAACAATATTATGTAAACAAGCAAGAAATTTACTTAATACTTTTAAAACATTATACATACATACAAAATTAATAGTAGTAAATTAAAACTGACGATAAATTTTCTTTATATTGAAACAATCCACTTAATATTTTAAATAAACAATAAATTCATTAACACTCCTTTCGTATTAAAAAAAAATAAATTTATACTACTTATTATCACTTTTCTTTTCATTCATTTATTAAAACACCAACTATTGATTCACTCCTTTAAAACAAACTAACTAACTAACTTACATTCATTCATTCATTTGTTTTACTTTTTTCTTTTAATTTAACCAACTATTAATTCATTCCTTTTAATTATTACTATAGTATTATACTTTTAAAGATTAAACAAAACAAATTATTCATTCATTAAACTACTACATTCATTTAATCAACTTATATTCAACTTATACATTCATTAATATATTCAAACATATTCAAAAATGAAATTTACAACAACTATATTATTTTCAATTTTATCATCATTAATAACTAATACACAAGCATCATGTACATTTGATGGAGGTAATTATTATTGTTCAGAAACTTCAAAAATTATTTATAAAAATATTGGATTTAGTGGAAGTTATCAAGATGTTACAAATATGAATGAAATAACTGGTAAATGTACTCAAGAAACTTTTTCATTTAATGGGAATTTATCACCATTAGATGAAGAATTATCAGTTCATTTTAGAGGTCCTTTAAAATTAAAACAATTTGGTGTTTATTATCCTTCAACCACTTCCCAAAATAATAAAAAAAGAGATGATGAAGATTGTAATATTCAACATTTTCATCATAAACATAAAAGAGCTACTGAAATTGTTCAAGTTACTCAAACTGTTTTTGTTGATGGTAATGGAAATTTAGTAACTAGTCAACAAACTTCAATTGCTACTGAACAACCACAACAGGAATCTTCAGTTGTTGCTCCTGCTGTTGAATCTGCTATTGAAACTGCTGTTCAAGGTAAAGCTTATAGATCATTATCAACTAAATCAGCACCAACTACAACAAGTTCAACTTCAACAGCTTCAACTTCAAGTTCTTCATCATCAACTGAATCTTCTTCACCAAGTGGTTCATGGGAAAGAAGTTCATATTATACTCCTGGTTCAGCAGATAATTGTGTATTTTTAAATTATCATGGTGGATCAGGTTCAGGTATATGGTCATCAGTATTTGGAAATTCATTATCTTATGCAAATAGTGATAATAGTGGAGGATCATCATCACCAATTGCTTTAGCTGATGTTACAATTGGTTCAAATAATGAATTTGTTATAATGTCAGGATCAAAATGTGATAGTTCTTGTGGTTATTATAGAGAAGGTTCAGTAGCACATCATGGATTTGGTGGTAAATTTAAAATATTTATATTTGAATTTGAAATGCCATCTGATAATTCTGGAGCAGGTTTTAATGTAGATATGCCAGCTATTTGGTTATTAAATGCTAAAATTCCAAGAACTTTACAATATGGTGATTCTTCATGTTCATGTTGGAAAACAGGATGTGGAGAATTAGATTTATTTGAAATTTTATCCAGTGGTTCAAATAAATTAATAAGTCATTTACATGATGGTCAAGGTACTGGTATATTAAATACTAATAATGGTGGTGGAGGATCACAAGATTATTTTGTTAGACCTTCAAGTGGTTCATCATTAAAAGCTGCTGTTATTTTTAATAATGATGAAATTCATATTATTCAAGTTGATGATTCTACAAATTTTGGTGATTCATTAGATGAAAATACTGTTAATGGCTGGTTAGAACAATCTGGTAGTATTGCAACTATTGGTTATTAGATACTTAAAAAAAGATACTTTTAAAAAATAATATTATTTCATACCTGACTATACATATGTAGTCTTTGTTTGCTTTTAGTTTGATTTTTCAATTTTGTTATTTGTTATTTGTTCATTATTTTGTATTTATATTATATAGTTTTAACTAGTTCAATAAAAAGTAAAAAAATTTTCATTAATTATAAAATAACTCTCATGTTTATCCTACTTTTGATTTGTTTTGATTTCTTGAAGATTTAAAGTTAAATAGGTAAAACAAAAACTTTAATAAATTGAGTTGAATAACGAATATTGGAAAAATAGAGGTTGATATATCTTAAAATTGACAACTAGTGAAGTTTTATTAATAATTATATTTTTACAAAAATAAATAGCTATTAACTTCCCTAAAACATCCTGTAACACCATACTTTCTTTTTCTTCTGAAGTTGATTAAAAACACTAAAAGTCATAAACATTATAAATCCATCAATTACTTTATACTATTTTTCTTCTTAAGTTGATTAAAAACACTAAAAGTCATAAACATCATAAATCCATCAATTACTTTATAAATTTGTTAAAAAATCTAAAATTTCATCAATTAAAAAATAAATTTTACTAAATATTAAAATAGTATCAATTTTAGAAATTTTAAAACTTTCTTTATCATTATCTTTCTTATCAATACCAACATTTTCTTTATTGTTGTAGTTCAGATCATTCATAATTTCATTAATTTCATAATAATTAATTAATGAAGAATTTGATAATTTTAAATTTAATATATTCATCTTTTTAGAATCAATTACTATATTTTCATTTTCTTCATTATTATCAAATGGATAATAATTAAAATATTTTGATAAATAATATTTTAATTCATTTTGATTTTGAGTAGGTTTTGTTGGTGTTAATGGTTCGATTGAAGTTGTTGATAAAAATGTTAAAAATGTATCTTCTTCTTCTTCTTTTAAGCATTCATTTGTCGAATTTGTTATAGGGGTTATGGGAGTTAATGGTTCAATAAATGTTGTTGATAATAGTGTTAAAAAAGTATCTTCTTCTTCTTCTAAGCATTCATTCGATACTTCATCTAAACAAAGTTCTTTTATCTTATCATTGGAAACTTCCAGTTCTATATGATCCAAATTAAGTTCGTTTATTGTTTCATTTAAACATCCTCCATCTTTGTAATCCAAGCAATTATCTCCCACTTCTTCAGAATTACTACTAGATACTACATTTAATGGTGAATCAATTATTAAATCAAATATTGTTATAGCAGCTATTAATTGTATTAGGAAATTTAATATTTCAAATTCAGAGTTATCTTCAACTTCAATATCATCTTTCATTAGCTCCTTAATGGATGTGATCATTATTGACATTTTGTCTTTCCTCTAGGTTTTCATCTATCGGACTGTTGAAATGGTTGTAAAAGATTGTAAATAATTTTGGTTGCAAAAAAGAATTGTTTGTGTAAGTTATATTCTTCCCCTCTTTTTCATTGTCTAACAATAGAATTATTTAGCGAGTTTCATTACTGACATTATTTTTGACACGCATTTTGAATGAGTTAGTTGTATGAAGACAGGTATACTAAGGGCTGAATAGATCTATCAAGCTGAGGTAGGTTGTACTACTTCATCATTTCACTAACTCTCCTATTGATGTATAACTCCTGTTCGACAACATTTATTAGACTTATTAGTGGGTGGCTTTAATTTAATATTTCACTTAATAGAAAAAAGATAAAAGAAATTGTAAAGGTTAAAAAAAAACAGAGTATATTTAAGTTTATCATTATTTTACAACCAAATAGTAACTACAAAGCAGACATATATTGTACAACTTCTAATCATAAATCCACTAAAATCACCTCAGCAAGCTTGCCAATCAGATACAGATAATGGTAATATAACCTCAACTTTTCATAAATCACATTATACTACCCTTTAATCCTTTAATGAATCAAATTATTATATAACAAATTATTATAAAAACAAATGAATCAAAATTTGAATTCTTCTAATTCTTATAATAATGATAATTCAATAATAAATTCATCAAATTCATCAAATTCAGTTGTAAACGATAGAAAAAATTCTGATCCAAATACAAAATTAACAAATTTTTTTAAAAATGATTATACAAATAACTCAACTTCTCCAAATTCATTAATCCCTAATATTCAAGGTAAATCAATTACAAAATTAACAAATAAACATACAACATCATCAAATAATGTTAAAAAATCAAAAAGATCAACTACATCAAGAGCTTGTGATGCTTGTGCAATAAGAAAAGTAAAATGTGATCCAAATACTCCTTGTAATCATTGTGAAATTAATAATTTAATTTGTACAAGAAATAGACAAAGAAAAAAATCAGGTCCAAAATCTTTAGCTAAAAAGACTTTAGATTCAATAAATAATTTAAGTGAAGTTATTGAATTAAATTCAAATAAGAAATCAGATTCATTAAATATACCAAGCCACGCTGTGTCTAAAAGTCCAAGTTTTATAGAGGATGAACAACAAAGTAGTAATCAATCAAGTCCTCCTGTAAGTCATAAATCATCTATAGTTCAATCTATAACTCCTAATAATGATATACAATCAAATCAAATACAAGAATCCCCTGAAGTTATACTACCTGTTACAACAATACAAGAGTCTTTGACTCCTAATAACTCATCTGAAGATTATTTAGTAACACCTGCTCATTTGATTGAGAATCTACGATTATTAGGTGATGAACCATGTATATTTGAATTAGTTAAACCATTAACTGTTGATTCTATTTTATTGAACTATTCAAAATTAATTCAATTTTTAGAAATAAATTATCCAGACTCCACCACCACAAACAATCCATACACCAGTGAAATAAATTTAGTTAAATATCATGAAAATTCATTATTTTTATCACAACTACTTATAATTATAACATTAAATCAAATAATAGCAGAAATGTTAATAAAATTAAAAAAGCAAAAATTTAAAAATTTTAAAAATTATTCTAAAAAGAATTTAATGTTTAGACCATTTAAAAATTTTAAAAATTTATGTCATTTTAAAGTTCTTGAAATTTTAACATTAATTGAAAAAAATTTTATTGTACCACCCATAATCCCCAAGATGAGATCAGATAAAACAAATCAATTTTGTCATTTAAATCAATATCAAATTTATTTTAATTTATCTTTGTCAAATATACAATTAAGTAATTATTATAATATTTTAAATTTAACAAATAGTTTAAATTCAACAAATGATTTAAATAATTCTTATGGTAATGAAGCTCAAGAACATCAAAAGATTCTTTATTTAAATAAAGCTATTAGCTTTTTTCAATTGATTAATTTAAAAGATACTGATCCAATCAAGCCATTTAAGGAGTTATATGAATTAATATTTATATTTGAAAGATATTATATAATTTTTAGTTCATTTTCTTATGGTTGGAACATTTTTAGAAATAATGACATGATATTGAAATTAACAAATTCATCTTTGGGAGCTGAAAATAGTTCATTTTTATTCAAATTGTTAAAATTTATTGATGATGAAAAATTAATTGAAGATATTTGTAAAAATTCAAATTTTAATATAACTTTAAATTATCAAAATGAAGATTCCAAATACTATGTTATAAAAAATAATCTCCTAGAATTATTAAAACAAACATCAGAATCAATTGAAAAATTATTAATTCAAATCTTATTATTTAAAATATTATTAATTAATCCATTAAATTTTGAAAATTGTAAAAAAGAAATATATGAAATTTTATTTTCAATAAGTATCGAATTAGAAAATTCAAATAATGATTTATTTAAAATTAAAATTTCAAATTATCAAGTTTTACAACCTTTATTACATATTTTAAAAATCTTTTTGGAAATAAAACAAAAAGAAGTTAAATTAAATCTTGGTATGAATTTAAAAGATCAAAATTTATTAGTTAGATATAGTGAATTATTAATATTACATTTACCATTTTTTAATAATATTAATAAATTAATTAGATCTCATAAAATTTTAAATAATTGGTTCTTGATGTTAAGTGAGATTAAGAAAGATAAAGATGATCAACCAGAATCGCCACAACAACAACAACAATCTCCACAACAGCAACTACAACCACAACCGGTACAACAATTTCAACCATATCAACAACAAATCCTACAACAACCTCAAACTCCAATAACAAATTTACCATTACATACAGGTATAACCCCAGAACAACCACAAAATTTTAATAATAATGATCAATTATCTTTTACAAATTTAAATAATCAATTTCAACTGATGCATCAAAAAATTGCTTCACAAATTGATATAAATGAATTATTAAAAGATTTTAATGTTTCAAAATTTAATGATGATTCAAATTCAAATTCAAATCAAAATTTAATTAATCTTACACCTATAATTCAATATAAACCAGATGATGAAGATGAAGAGGAAGAAGAATTGGAAGAGAAAAACGAAAATGATAAAAATAAGGAAGTTAATGACGAATCCGCAAACAGAAGTAATCTAGAAGAAGAAGAAGAAGAAAATGATTTTTTTAGTATAAGACCTAAAAATGAACATGGTCATAAATTTATAAATTCAAATAATTTAATTCAACAATCAATTCAACAAAAAAAAATAAATTCACAATTTCAACAATATCCAATAACCACAAATTCTAATTCTAACTTGAATCAAAATTTCACAATACCACCAAATCAATCATCATCAATTATAAATTTAAATAATTTAAATAATGCAAGTACAAGATCTTTTTTAAGTTTATTAAATGCTGCTAATTATATTGAAGATGAAGAAAATAATAATAATAATTTTAATTTAAATCAAACTATTTCTAATAATGAAGTTAATTATAATGCTAATAAGAATAATGGTAATAAACCAATTGGTGATTCTTCATTTTTTAATTTGAATAATTTAGGATAATTTTTGATGATTAATAAACAAAACATCCTTTCATCCATGAATCACGAATTGTAGTAACTGATTCTCTGATGTTTAGTTGTCTGTCTTTAGCGATTTAACTTCTACAATTTTGTGTAACTACAGTGGTTTTAAAATTTAGTAAAGATGAGAAATGACTATAAATTATTTGCAACAACTTTTACCACTGAATTACAATTCAACCACGATCTTAATGAGTCATATTATATAGTATCACGCTAATAAATCATAATACCTTGAATAACGAAGAACTTAGCACTTAGAGTCAAAATTCTGTTGAAGCAAATAGTATCAAGAACAATCCGTTCTTCAATCAATCCAATTATTCACAAATCATTTTCAACTTCAATCACCAAATCAAACTTATCTAAAAGAATTATTGACAAAAGAGCTAAAAAGAAATCAAGAAAATCTCAAAAACCACCAAAAGATATTTATAACATCAATAATAATTCGTTATTTCTGGGAATGTTTAAAATTACAACATTAAATCATATAAATAATGATACAAATCGTCCTCTTATATCATTAACTACTCGATTAGGTAATAAATACTTGTTTGGTAAAATTCCAGAAGGTTGTCAAAGAATTTTAAATTCAATAAATTCAGAAATAAAATATAATAAATTACAAGGAATATTTTTAACTGGTAATATCCTTGGTTGGTCAGATTTAGGAGGATTACCTGGATTATTTTTAACAATAAGTGATGCAACTAAACAAGGTATAAAAATTTATGGAAATTCTAAAATTTTATCATATATTGTTACTACTTGGAGACAATTTGTATTTAGATTAGGAATTAATATTGATATAATTGATGTTATTGATAATAAGGAAATAATACTTCTGAATGATGAAGTAACTGTTAAATCAATAACAATTGAATCAAATAAAAACATCGAAACAGAAACAAACAAAGAAGAAGAAAATATATTATTAAGACAAATTAAAAAATTAGCATCATTAATGTTTCCATTAAATACTTCTGAAATAAATAGTAGAAATCCAGAATCTTATAAATCAGATCCATCACAAAGAGATATACATACTCATGTAAAATTACCACGTTCAAAAATATCACAATATTTAAATTTTCAAAATCAATCATCAATATCTTACTTACTTGAATTTTCTAAAATTCGAGGGAAATTTGATCCAAAAAGAGCAATTGAATTAGGTATTAAACCAGGTCCACAATTTAGAGATTTAACCAATGGACATTCGGTGGCTAATGAAAAAGGAGAAATAATTGAACCTTCACAAGTTTTAGGACCAGATAAAATTTTACCAAATATTTTAATTATTGATATACCTACAGATGATTTTTATGAAAATACAATTAGCAGCAATATTTGGTTTAAAATTGAGAATTTAGGATTAGTTTATCATTTTATTGGTGATGATATAAATTTTAATCTTGATTCATATATTGAAAATTTTATATCAAAATTCCCCTCCAGTATTAAACATGTTATTAGTCATAAATCAATTAGTGAAAATGTAATTATAAATGATAAATTTGTTTTTAATCATTTAAAATTGAAGACGGTTATGAATGAAAATTTTAATGTGCTTAATCTGGAAGATTTTAGCTCTTTAATTCTAAAAGAGAATATTGATAAATTACATAGTTTACAAGCTTTTGGAATTAGTGAGAAAGGAATTATTAGCAACAATTCTCAAGTCACAAATAAATCAATTGAAGATATATATAACAATGAAGTAAAAAATTCAAATGAAAACACACCGTCTTTTACTGATCTTGAAAAATCAAATTTCCTACTAGAGAATGATATAGATTCAGAAAATTTAAAAGATTTTGTTCATATTTGTACATTAGGGACAGGATCAGCTTTACCAAGTATACAAAGAAATGTTTTATCTACATTATTAAGAATACCGTATCAATCAGAATCTGGTGATATCACCTACAGATCCATTTTATTAGATGGTGGGGAAAATACAATAGGAAGTTTATTAAGAAATTTTGGACAAAATAATCAACAAGATTTCATCAAGATTTTTAAAGAATTAAAATTAATTTATATATCTCATTTACATGCTGATCATCATTTAGGAATTTGTTCAATTATTAATAAATGGTTTGAAATAAATACCAATGAAGAAGATATTTTATATATGATTTTACCTTGGCAATTTATAACTTTTTTAAAAGATTGGTATAATTTAGAATCAAATCATAATACAACTTTTGATATCTATAGATTAAAAATGTTTAGTTGTGAAGATTTTATACAAATTGAATCAAGACAACCTGAATACATCAAGATATCACTTGGAAAATTTGAAGAGCTTTTTGATTCTGGAAAAATTAAAAATGAAATTATATCAAAATCTTCTTTAACAGATATTAATTTAAAAGAAGTAAATAAAATGTATGATGCCATTGGTTTAAAATCTATTGCTTCAGTAAGAGCATTACATTGTTCATGGGCATATTCAACAACATTTGAATTTAAATTAAACCAAAATCAAACTCAATTTTTCAAAGTGTCATTTTCAGGAGATACAAGACCAAATTTAAAATTTATAAAAATTGGAAACGAAAGTGATTTATTAATTCATGAATCTTCATTAGATACATATTGGATAGATGAAGCTATAGCTAAAAAACATACAACAATGATTGAAGCAATTTGGGTATCTAAATTTATGAAATGTTCAAATTTAATTTTAACTCATTTTAGTACAAGATATGGAATTGGAAATAATTATGTCCCCAAGCAAGATTTAATAAATGAATCCAAAAAATTAAAAGCATCATTTGGTGGTGATAATGAAAAAAATAAAAGATTATTTAATATCCTAAAGAATATAAATCTTGATGAAATTGAAAATAGTGAAATTTTTTTTGAAAATTTAAATATTGTTTATGCTTATGATTTAATGAATTTTAAATTTAGAAATATGAATTTTCAAGAATTGGTACAACCTCAAATTCAAAATTTATTTGAAATTAATTTAAAGAAAAGAAAATTAGATGATAATGATATTGATATGAATAATGATTGATATAGTACATTTACTTGTACATAAGATTAGTATATTTATAGAGGAAAGTTTAATTTACCAAAATGATTGAATTATGGCTGAATTAGTTTAAATTTGGGAATAAACTTTGATGAACTAAGTATTCAAAAGTTTAAAGTTTCTAGCAATATTTGAGCAATATCTATTAATTTTAGTTGGATTACTTCTCCTCTGCACGTAGTTCACATTTTGTTTTCAATTTGGTGAGGTTTACGTGACAAATATTGAGTAGGCAAAATGTTTACTGAAATGGAATGATAAAGGCGACAAATTACAGATAAAAATTGTTTGATAAAACGTTTGATTAAATTTTTCAATTTAAATTCATCGATTTTTGAACTGAAAATGGGTTTAAGCAGAAGAAACCTTAATCTTAAGGTGTCAATCCTATGTAAGATGAAAATTTTTTGGTTTCTGTACTTGCTTGGTGGATCTCTCGAGATTTACAGTTTTTCAAATATCAGGTAAAAATCTTTATTGTTCGATAATTAATTTTCATGTTTCAGATTTTTAATTAGCAAAATTAAATGATATAACCTCGCTTTTTTCACGGAAATTCCTGGCAAATTGTTCCAAAAGCTTGTGTATATGCTATTCCCTTTATGTCCGGGGCTGTATTTTATTCATAGCATCTCTGTCTAATGTTCCAACTAAACTTAACTTTATTAGCCTAGACTAATTAATATTAAAGTTTTGTCATTAGATTTATAATAATAATATTTCAATATTTTGTAACTTTCATCCAAATAATAATATTATAAATATTATATTAGACTGAAAATACAATTCTATCCCTGAATACTTGGATCATTTTCATTTCATATAATTATTCCGTTTTTCCACCTTAAATCAGACACATCATTTAGAAGTAAATCGGTTATTATTTGATCTATCTTAATTTATATTATCACATTTTTTCTTCCATAATTAATATATTTTCATACAAACCACGGGGATCTAAAGAAAACCATGACAGATAAGAGTAGTCTTGGTACAAATATCAATGATCAAATTCCCATAGTAGAGATCGATATTAAAGACACTGAAGAAAATCAACATGAAAAACCAGAAGAAACTGAAGATGTTTCAGCAACTTTAAGAAATAGAAATATAAACCCCACAAAAGAGAGATCATCAACTATGGATTCAACCACTTCATCAACTATATCAGATTCAAGTATTACTTCATCATCCACAATTACATCAAGTTCATCAACAACTCAAGCAGATGGAACCAAAAGGAGGAAAAGTAGCAGAAAAAGAAGAAGAAGAAGGAGTTCAAAACCATTATTAAACGTTGCACCATTAAATACTCCATTAAATCATAGATTAGAAACTTTAGGAGTTGTATGGCATTGTATAAGTATTCCATTTTTTATATGTGTATTTTTAATATGTATATCATTAGGTTGGGTAGTTTGGGTATCAGTTATAATTCCATATTTTATATGGTGGTATGGATTTGATTTACATTCTCCAACTAATGGTAAAGCTTCTTATAGAGTTAGAAATTCAATTAGAAATTTAATTATATGGGAATGGTTTGTTAATTATTTCCCCATAAGAGTATTTAAAACTGAAGAATTACCTGCAACTTTTGAACAAATTTTAATTGATGATGAATATGTTAATTTAAATTCAATTGATGAAGAAGATTTAGTTTCTGAAAATAGTAAAACTTTATTAGATTCAATTTTTAAGATTTTAGGATTAAAGAAAAGATTAAATAAAAGTGATGAAAGTATAGATAATATATCAGTTAGAAAAGAAAAGAAGAAAGATGAACTAAAAGCTGACACTATTAAAAAAATAGTTGAAGAAGAAGAAGAAGAGTCTGGTAGTTCAACTTCTGATGATTTGAAAGTTAAAGTTAAGGAAGATGATGATTCATCGATTACAAAAATTGAAACTTATAAAAGAGTAGCAACAGGACCAAGATATATTTTCGGTTATCATCCTCATGGAGTTATATCAATGGGAGTAGTTGGATTATTTGGTACAAATGCTTTAAGAAATGAACCATATGAACCAGTAAATAAATGGTTGAAACCTTTCTTTCATGATCCTTCAAAACATGAAAGGTTATTTCCTGGTATTGGTAAAATTTTTACTTTAACTTTAACCACTCAATTCACTATACCGTTTTATAGAGACTACCTAATGTCATTGGGAATATCCAGTGCTTCAGCTAGAAATATCAAAAGTTTGATTAATAATGGTGATAATTCAGTTTGTTTAGTCATTGGTGGAGCTCATGAAGCATTATTGAATTCCAAAGTTGTTAAAAATTCAAGAATTGGATATGGTTATAAGACAGAACAAGAAAGAATTGAAGAAGAACACAGAAAAGAATTAAAAGATGGTGATGAAGAATTAACTTCATCAAAATCTGACCTGGAATCAGAAGATGATAATGAAAATCAATATGAAGGAATACCAGCTAAAGAGAATGTGAAAAAAGAAGTAAGATTAGTTTTAAATAATAGAAAAGGGTTTATAAAATTAGCAATAGAATTAGGTAATGTGAATTTAGTTCCTTTATTTGCATTTGGAGAAGCAGATGTATATAAATTAAATTTTCCAAAACCTGGGTCGTTTGGTGCAAATTTCCAACAATGGATGAAGAAAACTTTTCAATTTACAATTCCATTCTTCAGTGCTCGTGGTGTTTTCATATATGATTTTGGATTTTTACCATATAGAAATCCTATTAATATAGTAGTTGGTAAACCTATACATGTACCTGAGGGTTGTTTACAAGAATATAAACTCAAACATCCTGAAGAATTTGAAGAACCAAAAACCGAGGAATCAAAACCACCAATTAAAAAAACTAATTCATTCACTGATTTCATCAAATTAACAAAAAGTAAAAATTCAGAAGACAAAGCAAGCAAAGATTCTGCAAATACATCGAATCGTAAAGCGAAAAGAAGTTCCGTACGTACTAAAATTCCTCAAGAATTATTAGATAAGTATCATAAATTATATGTTGATGAATTGAAACGAGTTTATGAAGAAAATAAAGAAAAGTTTGGGTATGGTGATGTTGAATTAAAAATTATTGATTAATTTGAAATATATTAGATATTACATGAATTTAGAACCGTTTGATACTGTTTTAGAATTCACTTTCACCTCTCTTTTGTTATGGCTGTGATTTTCGTAAATCCGAAGCCGCGCTTATCACCTTAAACGGAATAAAAAGGAATTTACGAAATCTGAAATTGCAACACAAAAATTGTTTATTATTTATACACCATTAGATAATCAATTTCACAACTAGACATCTACCACCAACTCCAAACTTTGCTTTAACAGTTAAAATGGAAGGTAGTAAGATTAAAAAACGGAAATATTCAAGATTGGGCTGTGCAGAATGTAAAAGAAGGAAAATAAAATGTGATGAATTGAAACCAAGTTGTTTTAATTGTTCAAGGTTACAAAAAATATGTCAATATCCAAGTTCAACTCAATCTAATTTTAAATTTGAAGTACCTAAGCAGCTGAAAAAAGTGAGCAGACACACTTCTGAAAATAAAAGTGATGATTCTGAGTCAGTATCATATAATAATCGAACGTTCGAGGAACATAATAATAATCAATACACACATAATATTCCACAACCTCAAATACTACCGAATTCACCTTCTTTAAATCATAGACTACTACCTCCTCAACAACAGCAACCTCAATTATCCTATAGATTTTACCAGGAAAACAATAGTAATATAAGAACTCCACCTTCATTACCTTCATTAAATGAACCATCATCAACTACGTCAAGAGTGAACATTCTAGATCTAGGTGCTAATAGGAATGACAAAAGTGGAGATAGCGTTGCAAACAATGGTTTACCACAGCACTTACCAATACAAACTCAACCAGGGCTCCAAGCTCACTCATCACATGTTCAATTGGATATACAAACGCCAACTTCTTCTTTCAACACTTTAAATCAGCCAAGTCATAATCAATCTCAATCTATTCCAAACCCTATATTACCTCATATTCAACAACCATCACAACATCTACCGCATCAACAAAGTGAATGTAAGAAATATAAAATATCAGACATATTATCACCTGATATCGACTTTTTGAATGATCAAAATTGGGGTAGTATTGCACCAGATGACGTAAGAAATCTTTTTGATGATGCTAGTTTATTGGTTCATGATTCTTTAGAAATGTTTGGGATCGATCAATATAATTTTATGAATCAAGGGATTAGGAACGACCAAATAACGAATAATCATTCAACTCTGATAAATGAAATCAATGATCAAAGTTATACTACGAATGGTGATACTAAAATTAGAAATGATTCATATCCTTTAAGTATACCAAGTTCAGATGAAACTTCTTTATTTCCTGATTTTCCAATTGAAGAATTTAGTAGTCGATTATTTGTTAAATCAAATCCAATTGTGATAGAACCTGTGAAAAGTAACAAGGAACTTATAGATACTACATTAAAAAATTTTGATTTAAGTGGTCCACATGAAAATTATTTAAATAAATTGACAAATTCTGAATTAAGTTTTCATATGTTTCCATTTGCTTCAACTATAGAGGATAATTCGGTAAATAAAATATTATTGAAATATCTGCAAGGTTGTTCATATTTATTAACTTCATTACTTTCAAGTTCTGCGACTTTTCAGTTCATTCAAACTAGAAAGTCTATTCATGAACAAAATAGAACAAAATATAATTCAATTTGTTTAAAATTATTAAGTGAAGCATTTCCACAAGTAAACAGTGAAGAAGAAGATCAAAAAATCATGGCTAATGATATTGAAAAATTATTACTTACAATATTGGTTTTGACTTCAAATTTTACTGCAACTGCTTATTTTCAAACAGATATTGGAGATAATCATGATACAAAAAAACATGATAAAACAGAACCAAAACCTAGTAAATTATTGTCATGGAAAACTCATTTACGTGGAGTTAAAGATTTATTATTAAAATACACAAATTTAACTTGTAATAAATTAAAACGTACTTACATATCGGATGGATTAGCATTGGCAAAAACTTGGTATTTTGCTATTGAAGCTTTAGCTGAATTGAATGATCCACTAGGTGGTACATTAAAATATACAAAGAAGAATATATCTCATGAATGTGGTTTAATTAAGACAGATGCAGAATTAGATTATTCTCTAATGAGTAAACTTTGGTTACAAACAGGATATTTTAGTGAGGATCGAAATAAAGACTATCATGATGCTTTGATTCGAATAAATTTATTAACTTTACCAAATTCAAATTCAATTCAATTCAATTTATACAATGGTTATAGTATTCATTTTGTTAAATTAATTGATGAATTCAGTAAGTGTTTGGATTTATTACGTGATCATAATAATGCACAAGTAAGTGGTCAAAGAATTAGTAGAATTATGAGTTTAATTGATAAAGGTCGAGAGAATTGTATTGCTCCATTGGTGAACAAAGAAACTTTTATTATCCCACGCGAATCACCTGGACATCCAAATTATCAAAAATTTGATAAAGTCGTTTTACCGAAATCATGTTATGGTGAAGAAATTATTCTATCAGGAGATAATGAAGAAAGTATTTATTATTCTTGGTTTGATTGGTGTGAACAGATGCATGTAGATTCATTATATTTAAAATTATTAACAACTAAAGGTTTATTAAAATTACCTTCACATCATGCATTAATAAAAGAACTTAAAATTAAAATTTTAAATTCAATGTTTTTCATAAAACCAATCACTTCAAACAATCAATTAAATCATCATCATCATAAAGATAAATTTTATGAAATTCATGATGATATATTTGTTAAATCAGAAAATTTTTATATATCTAAAAAATTATTTGATTTAAGAGTAGTTATGGTTCAAAGTGTATTTAGACAATGTGCTAAACTTTCATTAAATGATGAAGAATTTGAAAAATTAGAATTATTATTTAGAGGTATGATAAAATTAGGTAATGGATCATCATTAATTGCATTAGATCAAATTAGAAGATTAAGAAATAAAACTTTATTTAGAATTAAAAAGGAAAATCATGCTGATAATTGTAATCATGTTAATGAACGTAAGAATAGTAATGGATCAAGTAAAAATGGAGATGCTAAAGAGAATGGTTCTGTTGATCAACAAAGTAGGATTGAAGAAGAAGATGAGGAGGAAGACCTAGATGATGATGAAGAAGATGAGGATAGGAATTTCTTGGATATAATACCATTTTCATAAAAAATGCCAAAAAGTTTTCATTCTTTATCGGGTATGCAATTTTATAGATCCCAAAGGGGCTGTTCAATCGATATTTGTAGATTGTTAAACGATATCTTTCAGAGTTCTAGACATTTTTCTCGTATAGATCGTCGTATCTTCAAACGTGTTCGACCAAAAATCTCGTCTCAATAAAGTTCATTGATTGCACAAAATCAAGAAATCAAAACAAAACCAAAACGTCAATTTGATGCAATTATAGCAACTGTCTTCAAACAATTTTTTCTCCATTTCATATATCTTGTATAATTATTTATCAAGGTCACCATGACTGCAAAAGTATCCTTGAAGAAGGCATCTTCGAAGAAATTGAAGAAACAACCTCAACAATCAAAAAAAGGTTATACACCAAAAAATGAAATTGAATGGGAATTTGGAGGTCCAATTGGAGTAACTGCAATGATAATTGGATTTCCATTATTAATGTGGTATATGTGGATTGGGGCTGAATTCTACAAGGGTCATTTTCCATGGCCAACAAAAGATCAATCATGGTTAGAATTTTTTATATTATTATGGGAATTAATTAAATTAAATGCTTTACCTACTTGGGGTACATTTATATTTTTCACAAGTTTTATTTTAATTCAAGGTATCTTTTATGTAACTTTACCTGGAGTTTGGACAAAAGGACAACCATTGAGTCATTTAGGAGGGAAACAATTACCATATTTTTGTAATGCTATTTGGTCTTTTTATACTTCAATTGCTTTATGTTTGGGATTACATTTTTCTGGATTATTACCTGCTTATTATATATTAGATAATTTTGGAAGAATTATGACTGTAGCTATCTTTTATGGTATAATATTTTCAATTGGGTTATATTTAATTACTATAAATATTACTGGAGATTATCATAGAATGACAGGTAATCATATATATGATATGTTTATGGGAGCTCCATTAAATCCAAGAATTGGTAAATATTTAGATTTGAAAATGTTTTTTGAAATTAGAATTCCTTGGTTTATTTTATTCTTTATAAGTTTTGGATTATGTTTCAAACAATATGATTCTTATGGTTACGTTACACCTCAAGCCTTGTTTTTATTATATGCTCATTGGCTTTATGCTAATGCTTGTGCTAAAGGTGAAGAATTAGTAGTACCAACATGGGATATGGCTTATGAAAAATTTGGCTTTATGCTTATTTTTTGGAATATTGCAGGTGTTCCATTTACTTATTGTCAATGTTCATTATTTTTAGCATATAATGAACCTCAAACTTATCAATGGTCAAAATATTACAACTTATTTTTGTTTGTTGTTTTGACAATTAGTTATTACTTTTTCGATACCGGAAATCGTCAAAAGAATAGTTTTAGAAGAACATTATCAGGAAATACTCATTTAAGAAAAACTTTCCCATACTTACCATATTCAGATTTAGTAAATCCAAAATATATTAAATGTGCAAATGGTTCAACATTATTGACTGATGGTTGGTATGTATATGCAAGAAAAATGCATTATACAGCTGATTATATTCAAACTTTAACATGGGCTTTAATTTGTGGTTTTAAATCCCCATTTCCATGGTTTTTCCCATTATTTTTCTTAATAGTTTTAATTCAAAGAGCTTACAGAGATCAAAGAAAATGTGCTAAAAAATACGGTAAAGATTGGGATAGATATTTAGAAGCTTGTCCATATTTGTTTATTCCGTACGTTTGGTAAGAAGATAATCCTTCAACATGTATATAATACTAGATCTATACATTATTTATTGACAAAAGTTTGATTCATTTTACTCGTTTGTTTGTTCTCTGTAATACAAATTGAGAGTACAGACACGTTACTAATGAGAATATTTCATTAATTTATATTTTCATTCGTCTATTTAATCTTGTTCTGCAATAGCTACTAGCCTTTCATCAATTTCATCAGGTGTTAAAATTTGAAATTTACCTTCAGTAGCAACTCCAATTTCAATATCATTTTTTCTAAAATCAGTACCTAAAACTGAACTTAAAGCAGTTATTGCAAATTCAACAGTTTCTTTCCAATCTCCATTAACATAATTTGTCTTTTTAAATTTTTTCTCCAAATAAGTTGTAGCTTCTTGTTGTTTTGGTCCAGTAGCTACTGCTTTAAAACTTGTAAAATATCCAGCTGGATCACATTTAAAAACTTGTGGTCCTTTATTTTCATCTTCAAAATCAACTTGAATAAAAGTTAATGCTACTCCCAAAGGTCTCATATATGCTCTTTGTGTATATAATTGACTTAAATTAGCCATTCTTTTACTTAAACTTTCAACAGGTATTTCATAACCATATTTGTATCTAAATTCAGATGATTCACTTCTTGCTCTCATTGCTTGAGCTCTTGCATCTGCAATTGAACCTGTTGCAACCATTCCTATACTTGGTGTAATTTTAAAAATATATGATATTGTTTTAGAATCTAATAATTTATCAGGTATTTTCTTTTGAGATATAATAACTGCTGAATCTTTACCTGTAACTCCTATGGAGGTTATATTTGATGAATTTATTGCTTTAAATGCATATTCTACTTGATATAATCTACCTTCTGGTGAGAAAATGGTAATATGTCTATCAAACCCAGCTGATCCAGACATGATTTTTTATAGTTATACAAGCAATTGATGAATTATGAGTTAATTGAAGTATTGAAGCACTGTTGAGTCAACTAGTGGCGAAATAAATTTGGTTCAAATAAGAATGATTTTTTTGTGCGTAAAAACATTTACACAATATCACTTACAACCAGTAAATACATAAAGAAGTTATAAACATGAAGAATATACCGACGAGTGAGACTGATACATTCACAGTAGATGAAACTACAAAAGAACATATACCATTATACCATCCAAATAACACCAAGAATTTAAATGTCTCCTATCATTATAATCCAGAAGCAAGTCGATATCATTATGGAGCACTACATCCTATGAAACCATTCAGATTAATGTTAACAGATCATTTAATAATACTGTATAAATTATATGATAAAATGGATCTATATACTCCAAGAAAAGCAACCAAACAAGAACTACTAGAATTTCATTCCGAAGATTATATAAATTTTTTACAATCAATAACACCAGAAACTTGCAAGACTCTTGATTCTTCAACACTAGCGAGATTTAATATTGGAGATGATTGTCCAATATTTGATGGAATATTTGATTATCTGCAAATTTATACCGGCTCATCATTAGATGCAACAAGAAAAATAATTAGTGGAATGTCTGATATTGCAATAAATTGGTCTGGTGGATTACATCATGCAAAAAAATTTGAACCAAGTGGATTTTGTTATGTAAATGATATTGTATTGAGTATAATAAATTTATTAAGAGTACATCCAAGAGTTATGTATATAGATATTGATTTACATCATGGTGACGGAGTTCAAGAAGCATTTTATACAACTGATCGAGTAATGACTGTTAGTTTTCATAAATATAATGGTGAATTTTTTCCTGGAACTGGATCTGTTGATGAAACTGGTTTGGGTAGTGGTAAAAATTTTGCAATAAATGTACCATTAAGAGATGGAATTGATGATGATAATTATGTAAGATTATTTAAACTGATTATGGAACCTTTGATAACAAAATTTCAACCTTCTTGTATAGTACAACAATGTGGAGCTGATTCATTAGGTTATGATAGATTAGGATGTTTTAATTTGAATATAAGAGCTCATGGTGAATGTGTAAATTTTATAAAAAGTTTTGGTATACCTATGTTAGTATTAGGAGGTGGTGGTTATACTCCAAGAAATGTTAGTCGATTATGGTGCTATGAAACATCAGTTTTAAATGATGTAAGTTTAGATCATAAAATTCCAAATTATTTACCAACATATGATTGGTTTGGACCTGATTATTCATTACATCCACAATTAGAAGGAAGAATTGATAATAAAAATAGTAGGAAATATTTGGAAAGTGTAAAACAAGAAATAATGGAACAAATAAGATATTTGAATGCAGCTCCTTCTGTACAAATGTATGAAATACCACCAGATATTACAGGATTAACTGAAGAAGAAGATAAAATGTTGGAAGAATTGAATAGGGAAGAAAATGAGAAAGAAGAAGAAAATAATATCAACATGAGGTCGTCTATAAAAGTGAGTTAATAAATAGATTGTAATAGTATATTTATTGTGATGAAGTGAATGATATCGTAGCAAGAAAATTTGTCAAGCAATGCAGACTATATGTTAACATAGTTACTTCGGCTCTCGACTCATTTTGTAATTTATTAGTCGAGTTGGTAGCAACATCAATTTGCAGAATATGTAGAATTCTTTAAACCACATTATTAAAGTCCGGATAAACAATATAATGACCAAGAAGGCTATAAAATTATTGATCAAAAGTCTCAAACTAGTACTTCTCAACAACAGAAATTCCCAAATGAATTCAAACCTGTACATATAACAACCGATAGATGAGAGTATGGATTGTAAAAAACTAGAGATTGAAATTGATCCAGAGACTAAAAAGAAAATCATAAATCAACAATATTTAATCATTAAAAAGATTGGTCAAGGACAATTTGGTAAAGTATTTTTAGGTAAAGTTTTACAACGACAACAGCAACAAAATTCTAATTCATATGTTGCCATAAAAACAATAAATAGAATTGATAAATCAAAATTAATTACAAAATCATATATAAATAATAATTCAAAAATTGCAAAAGAAATTGAAATTTTAAAACAATGTAATCATCCAAATGTTGTTAAATTAATTAGTGTTATAGATGATTTATATTTTGATAAAATTTTTTTAATCTTGGAACATTGTAAATATCAAGAAATTGATTATAAATCATATAATCATTATTATGAAAAATATAATCACTTGAGAAAAAATCCATTAAATTTAAATAAAATTTTAAGAGATGTTATAAATGGTTTAGAATATTTACATGATTACAAAAATATAATTCATAGAGATATAAAACCTTCAAATTTATTAATTGATGAAAATAATAATATTAAAATATCAGATTTTGGAGTAAGTTTGATTCTAGAGAATAATTTAGATAATAATTCAAAGGAATTATTGAAAACAACGGGGACTCCAGCTTTTTATGCACCTGAATTATGTCAATTTATAACAAATAATATGAATTCAACTACAAAAATTTATGAAATTAGTAAAAAAATTGATATTTGGTCATTAGGAATAACTTTATATAGTTTAATTTTTAATATTGTTCCATTTAATGGTAAAAATGAATATCAAACTTTAAACAAGATATTAAATGAAGAAGTTAAATTTCCAATAACTTTAAAATCAAAAAGAATTACTGATGATGATATTATTGAATTTAATTATTTAAAAGATTTGATAAAGCAGACATTAATTAAAGATCCAAATGATAGAATTACGATAAAAGAGATCAAGAATCATAAATTTACATTGTTTGATTTAAATCTTAAGGAAATCGATAAATTTTTAAAATTTAATGATAAATATTGTATTAAGAAAGATAATGGGTTTTCATCAAAATTTAAAAAATTATTTGCAAAGAATAACAGTACTACAACACACACTAACGAGCCAATCACAACACAAGTACACTCAAATCATGTACAACATGACCCAACTCAAGATTTAAAACATGTGGATGATCTACTAGATTCATATTTGGATGATTCCTCTTCATTAAGTAGTATGGATGATGCAGAACCAATAAATACAAATAATTTATTAGAAGATTTACATTTATCATCAACATCTTCTCATTCAACATCACCAACTAAATATAAACCTCCAAGTTTAAATTTAGAATCAAATAACCACCACCAACAACAAAAAAATGATATATATACATATCAAAATAGATCTTTAAAAGATTTAAATTTATCATTTACTCAACCACCATCATTGTCTGCAAATACACAAAATTCCAAAACTATAATAACACCAAGTAATTCAATTCATTCATCATTATCTACTCCTATAAATGATTCATTTGCAACAATTGGTCAACCATCACCAACAAATCCTCAACAATTTTTTAGTCCCAAAAAGAGATTTTTTGATAATCAATCAATTAATTCATCAAATCATCAAACTACTACAACGACAATACAACCTTCTATAAAATCATTATCATATGAAGAACATAACTTTGAAGATCCATCAAATTATCATTCCCATTATCATCAATTTGAAAGACCATCTAGTATTGGATCAAATAATAGTCTACGTAGATTACCAAGTTCTTCAAGTTCATTAAATTTAAATGGTTATTTTAATGATAATGAATCAATAATTTCAAATCATTCAATAACAAAATATAATCTTAAGAATAATTCAAGTAGTAAGACTAAGAATCATTCACAATTTAAAACCAATGGATTTGAGAAAAAAAAGGATGATACGAATAAAGATAATGACAATAATGATAATGATGATAATAATAATGATACTACGATTAATTTGCTGGACAATTTTAATCTTGGTATAAAATATAAAGATTTAAGTAGTTATTTAGATGGTTTAGAAGATATTTAATAAAATTGTAATACTATCAATACTTTATTACTCCGTAAACTGAACTTTTCTTTCTTCAAATCTTTCTGCAAGGTAATGCCACTTGAGCAAACTCAAGTTCGACTAAGTTGAAGTAAAATTATACCTGGAAGTGTTCTTGATTTAGTATTAAGGATATAAGGTTTATGTGCTAGCGCCAAAATTATACAGAGTCGAATTTATAAATTCATGATAGATTAAGTAAAAGGATGAAGTATGCATTGAACACGCAACAGATCTAGAATGTATTTGATCATAGTAAAATAACTAGGAAATGAAAGCGGAAGCGGATCTGTCAGTTTATGTATGTTTAACCAAAGTGTGATTATGGAAATAGAAAAATTAGCTAATATCAATTTATGTTATAATTTTTGAATTATAAAAATAATATAAAAGTAATAGTAAAATCCCATTTTTTTATTTTATAAATTTTCAATATAGACTAAGTAAAAATCATTTATGGTAGTGTTTAAGTTATATTTGGTTAGGCTTAACTCAATTGCAATTACATACCAGATTTTGTCGACCGGACAGCCTGGTAATAAAGTGAAGTTATTATAATGACATAAAAGGAATATACTTCTTGGTCAAAATAGTATACTCTCATAGATTTATCAAACTAAGAAGAAAATGACTAGTTGGTTGAAAAATTTTTAAGTATGAGATTCAATAGGGAAGGATCTGTTTCTACTTGATAATAACCATTACCAGGATGCCCAGTTGATAAAATCAATAATTCAATTGAGTTGACAAAATATTATTTAAACACAACCATAAGTAATGAAATGTTTATCCATGAAAACAGTATTGTTACAAATGTTATTCAGTCAGACATTGATCCTCCTCAATTAGAAGTATTTCATACATATATTTGATTCAACCATTGGCACAATTTCCCTAAATGATTTTTTTTTTTCAATAAACAGACGCGTCTTCATTTTTTTGTATATATTTTCAATTGATTTTCGTCTAATGAATGTGTACAATGATAATTTGAATATACTTTACATCTTTCTTGGAAGAGATTAGGTTGATCAATAGTTTAAGTTGAAATTCATGGAAGAAACAAATCATATATAGAAACCATGATTTATATTGGGATGGAATGTAGAATATTAATTTAAATTTTTAGTAATATACTATACTTAAGTACTTGTTTTCGTATAATTTTAATAATATTAGTAGGGTTACAAAGTTAGGTACAAGTTAGAACAATAGAAAACAATGTAGAAAGTATCAATATCAATTGATACCGTTTTCACTCTTATCGTCTAATTTACTTAATATTCTACATTTCTAATATACTTTAATTGTTTATAAAACATTGTGAAACTTTTCAATTTTTTTCATTTACTTTCAACTAATATTTAATATTTATTTACAATAGACGAAATAAAAATAATAAATTAAATTTGACAATCTATTATACACCATTTTCATTCCATATCTACTGTATATCAGAGTTACCAATTATCAAAAAGATTAAAAGGATCAATAGACTGCCATTTCATTCAAAGAAACATCTAACTTCATAATTCATACACTCATTTATTTTTTTATACCGTGTTACTTCCTTTAGAGATACAAATTAACATAACCCAACCCATAGAAGAACAAAGATAACAAAACTTTCAAGATGGGTGCTTTAATGGTATGTACAAATTATCTTTATATACAACCTTAACAACAAACAACTAACTCCCCAATTATAGTCAAAATTATTCAAAAATAGAGAAATGAGAATATTAATGCTTGGATTAGATAATGCTGGAAAAACAACAATATTATATAAATTAAAATTAGGTAAAACTTCAAAAACAGTACCAACAGTTGGTTTCAATGTTGAAACAGTAAAACATAGAAATGTATCATTTGCAGTATGGGATTGTGGAGGACAAGAAAGAATAAGACCTTTATGGAGACATTATTTTACAGGAACAAATGCTTTAATATATGTTGTTGATTCAAATGATTCTAAAAGATTAGAAGAAAGTAAACAAGAATTATATAGAATTATTCAAGATAAAGAATTAAATAATTGTTTATTAGTTGTTTTAGCAAATAAACAAGATATTGAAAATTCAATAAAACCAAAAGAATTAATTGAAAAATTTGAATTAAATAAATTAACTGGTAATCATACTTGGAGTGTTATACCTACTATAGCAATTGATGGTACAGGTTTAGTGGAAACTTTAAATTGGATATCATCACATTCAAAATAATAAATATTGATAAAGGTGATATATAAATTGAGGAAACAAATAAGAAGCTAAGCTTCGTTATTCAGAGGATAAGAGGATAGACATTAAACCAGAAAGCTAGTGTTAAGCAACGTAAATTATGTATAATATTATATTAATTGTATTAATAAAAACTTTATTATTTCGATTCTTCAATAACTGTATCAACATTAACATTTTCTTCTGTATTCTTGTTGTTATCACCACCCCAAATACTTATTTCTCCATTATTTTCACCAAAATATACTTTTTCAGTAATTTCAGTAAATAATCCAGTTTCAATTACTCCAACTAATGACTTCAACTTGAAGTGTAAATTTTTAGGATCTTTTATAATACCAAAATTTGCATCTAATATAAAATTATTATTATCTGTTATAACTGGTCCTGCTTTAAATTTACCACCTTGTCTTAAATTAACTTCCAAAGCTCCTAAATCTTTTAAATCATTAATTAATTTTGTGAAAGCAATAGGAACAACTTCAATAGGTACTCCTTGTTTCCAATTTTCTCCTAAATATGTAGATTGTTTTCTAAAATCAGCAACAATTATTAATTTTTTAGAAGCTGAAGCAATTAATTTTTCTTGAAATAAACATGCCCCACCTCCCTTAATTAAATTTAAATCATGATCAACTTCATCTGCTCCATCAAATGCTATATCTAAAATTGGATGTTGTTCAATTGTACCTAATTTTAATCCATTATCTATAATTAATTGTTTTGATTGAAAACCAGTTGATATACAAACTATATCATCTTTTTTATTTCTAAAAATTTGTCCTATTCTTTCTGCTACATATACTACTGTTGATCCAGATCCTATACCAATAACTTTTGCATTTGGTGGTAAATTTTCATCTACTGCTTTATATGCTGCTAATTTTTTAGCACTTTCAATTGGTGAAATAGAAGACATTCTATTTGTGACTGTGGTAGTTATAAATTTAGTAAGGAATTTATGATTTTGTTTGATCGGACGGGTACAATTTATAAGCATATACTTGAGACCAAATCCATAATTTGTGCTAACTGCATCATTTTAACTTGCTGCACAAAATAAATTTCGGTTTTTAGGCATTGTCGGAATTAAAAATGTATGTATGTCGTAAAATTCTATATCATGAAAATTCTGAAACATCAAGTTAATAAAGACTGCATTGCATAATATACTTGTGTACACGATATGTTTTAAAATCTATTTATATAAAGATCTGAATTAGAGTCAAATAGATAATTATACTTCATTGCAAAATCAATTTTGTAGAACTGAGTGTATTTCTTTATTAAGATTAAAATGAGATAATGGGCATCATTAAATTTATGAGCAAGATCTAACTAAATTACGTCAAATTTAATCTGTCGTATGTTTACTATATCAGAATATGAATGAAATCTATAGAAACAGATATAATGTGATTTAAGATTTAAAATTTGGCTTTATGATAGTTTTTAGCCTCAAAACTCGAGATCATCTTTTGAAGAAAGATATGAATAATCTACTTTAACTCCTATTGTTACAATCGAAATACTAATTTATATTGGTGTCTTTCGATAAATGTAATGAATGATCCACGATTTTCCTTTCAAGGTTCGAGACTTATTGTTTGCTAATGTTTCATTTTATTAAACAATTTGAAATATTTAATTCAAATATTCAAAACTCATGAACAAGCAATAAATGACGAACCTACCACTGTATCGTGGATTAGACCGCTCTTTTTAATAATCCATCGATTTGTTTCTAGAATCCACTTATTCCTCTTCTATTATGATGTGATTAGTAGGTTATACCAAATTATATTGGCAGTATCAAATTTATTGCTGCTGTTCAGGTTCATTTCATATCTGATACATTTTTGAAAGAATAATAATGAGATTTTCAATTCAATCATCAAAAATTGGATTATTTATGTAGGATGGAACCATTTGAAACATATAGAATAAAGAACAAGGTTTTCCAATGAAGCATCTTCCTCAGTTAACGCAATGGGTTCAGTTGATGGTGATAATATTGAGTATTGAGCCTAGATGAATTTCTCAATATAAGATTTTTGGTTCAAAATTGAAAATGCGTTGAAATCCATGCATGTGAACCATACTTTTCGATTTTACGTGTAATTATATTATGATGCAGTGATGAACTTCATGTATAGTATTTGGAATCCAACAGATGAATATTGTATCAAGGTAAGATGATGTTTAAAGAAGAGCTGGATACAAGTTTAACGTGTTTTTTTTTTATTTTTATTTTTCGCTTCTTGTACACTCATTTTTCAATTTTTTGTTGGTAATTACAAGCAAAATCATTGAATTGAATTAACTCATAACGTCATCAATTTTAAAGATATGGACTTGAAAAAAACACCTTTGAAATCTACGGACTGATTATACTAAAATTTGAATTTTAAATATAATTTTTACTAGTTTGTTCCATACTTTTGAAAAATGCTGCTAAAATTAATATGTTAAACTTTTGCTGCAAAATTTTATGAATTTTTATGATGTAGGAACCAATTTTGGTCTAAATATTTTTTGAAAAAAACGTTATTTTTTTCTCTAATTCTTCCTAATTAACAACATATACTTTGTTTTGGCTGATAAAGTTGTACTGAGTTAAAAATTGTATATCAAACATGATGTTTTAGAATTTACAATTCTCTAATAATTTTTCTTAAAATTATCGACTATTAATTAAAAGAGTGCGTGACGCAAATGTTGTGTCTCAATTTGAAAAGTCTAGACATTCAAAGAAAGTAAGAAAACAAAAACCATTATAAAACATCATCGACACAGGTAAATTTTGTTGACAAATTTAATGATAAGATAACTACGGTCATCATAGTCAAAGTTTTAATATGAACTTATTCATTAATGTATTGGATGCGGGCTATCGATAAACCTCAATCCAACTCAAAGCAAGTGTTTCAGTCAATTAATTTGTACAAAATACGTATTTGAAGAGGACACCAATACTAACAATCGTCAAAAAACATCAAAACGAAAGGGTTTTCTTTTTTTGAAAGCTTATATTAAAAATTTAAAGGGAGTATGAATGCATCACAAAATTTTTGTATCGTCAAATCTACAAAATCTCAAAAGTAAGCAATATCAGCGTATCTCAAGTTTGGATCGAACGGCAAAATTATTTGAATTCCATCAGTTTTTAAAATTGATTGAAAAGAAATGATAAATATTAAATAAATCATGTTTTGAGTAAAGTTATTTGTGGAACCTAACATATACCAATAGAAGACTATTTATAAATTATGAAATTTATTATAACGATTGAATCTAATGCAAACAAATTATTTATATGTTTTAAGCTCAAAATATTTTGAAATACTTTACAATACTTGGAATATTAATGCAATCAAGATTATGAACGACAGTCGAATTTATCAATTAGATCATCGAGAAATTAGGATATTTTTAAGGATAAGGATATTTTTTATAAAACAAATTGAAATGATCATTTTTCCTTACTTTAAATTCTTGTTTTGATAATAAATTATTCGTTATTTGGATTATATATAGAAACTCAACACATTATTAAGTTACGTTCATTAATGAGAGTGAAGTCATTGATGGCTTGAGACTAAACTTACAAGTGTGACTTGAAGAGATTAGAATATGGTCTAAGTTTATCAAAGGGAGAGAATTCTTATCTCAAACCGAGCTCACCATATTAATAAGAGTTATTGGTAAAACTTCTATTCAATGCAATAGAATCGAAATATAAATTATAGGCAATGCACAAGATTGTGAAGTTATATCCAACCCAAATTATTCAATGTTGATCAAAAATAGAATATGTTATATTATCAACACATACAAGATTAAAAATTAAAGATTAAACTGAATTAGTATAATTTTCATATCCGGTGTTAGATATCTAGGTCAAATTGAAACTAGCATTTGATTTAAAAATATGATTAATATGGTCAAAACGCAAGATGTAATTATATTAAATCTAAATTATTTTGGATTAATTTCATGATTTCATCAATTTAAGATTTTCATAAAAACAAAAAATGCTGATATTAATATGCAAAGTCAACATGTGATTCGGTTTCATTTAAGTTTTGTTTTTGATTTTGATTTTGGTTTTGGTTTCTGTTTTGGTTTTTTTTTACTGAGAAGTTACTACTTTCTGTTTTTGAGATTTTGCATATATTCATTTAATTAGTTAAATTATGGATAAAGATTCAATTTTATTGTCATTGGTGAAGGAAGGAAAGGTTTAATTTTTAAGTTTTTGGGAGTGTGATACAAACAGCTTTGATAATGCACTAAACTTTTTTAATCGAACACCAGACTACGGTGATATTAACACTACCTTTGCTTTCCACATTAATTAACGAGATTTATTGGTAATTCATGAGTTCAAGTGTCGAAGTATGGAAATATATTAATATTGAAGGTAAATTGGTAGTGCGCAGAATGTTAACTAAAGTACTTTAATCTTGCATAAGATGCAAAGCTATGATAGATCAAAACTAATGCTTGATCATCTATTAGAAAGAATATCAATGTTACTTTTATGGTGTTTCAAAACTACCTGGATGGAACCATAGCTTGCTCCAGTATGTTGTTGAACCAGTTTGTTCAGAATTAAAATGTTTTAACATATTACATCAAATACTCCCAAATTTTTCCCATCAAATATTATTTGGATCAATTTAAAAGGCAACTAATGATTAACAAAGAATGTAAATAATCAATTGAAAGTTGTTAAGGATTAATTTTCGATTAATTATGATTACTAACAAATTTTTGTACATAAAACAAAAATGAACACAAAAACAAAAAATTGATAGAGAGAATCACAAAACCTTAATTTGGTAATTTAGCATTCCAAAAAATCAAAATGATAGAAAAAATCAACCTTTTCCCATTCAATAACTTACTTTTCCATATTATAACTTCAAATCAATTTCAAAACCTTAATATAACTTCACAATTCATCAAATAAATAACTAAAATCAATTATTTTTATTCAATTAATTCAATTTAATACTTTATTAACAAAAACAAAAAAAAAAACAAAAAGCTTCAATTTATTAGGTGTTTCAAAACTATAAAACACCAAATTTTGATTTATTAACAAAAATTTAAACCTGAAATATTTTCAAATAACTAAAATCAATTATTTTTATTCAATTAATTCAATTTATTACTTTATTATTTTATTCAATTAATTCAATTTATTACTTTATTAACAAAAAAAAAAAAAAAAAACAAAAAGCTTTAATTTATTAGGTGTTTCAAAACTATAAAACACTAAATTTTGGTTTATTAACAAAAACTTAAACCTGAACTATTTTCAAGATGTTCAAAAATTTCAAGAAGAAGGTTAATATAAAACCTGTCAAAAATTTATTTAATGGTAAAAATAAAGGCAAAACCGCTGATAAAGACGAAAATTGTAATAACATTTATTACAAAAACTGTAATCCTTATTTGGAATGTGACTTATATGAACCAAGTCCAATAAGAAATGTAATCAACGACGTCAACTACAATCACAATGAATCAATCAAATTTGAAGAAACAAAGTCAAATAATAATAATATTGACAATGATGATGAATTTGAAGAAATTGAATTGACAACAAAAGTACCAAGTAATTCATTAGGTTTTAAAAAACAAACTTTAAAATTATTTAAAAATTTAAGTAAAGATATAAGTGCTAAATCTACAAAATTATTTAGAATTAAAAAAGATGATAAAAATAAAAAAATCATCAACAATGACTTAATCGGAAGTGATGATGAAGATGAAGATGATACCATCGACAATCTCATCAACAATATCAACAAAGCTTTTAAATCTATGGGTTGTGAAGAATCATTAGAATTACTTTATGTCGGTAGTGACAATGAAGATGAAGATGAAGATGCTTGTGAAGAATTTGTTCATGAAAATATTGTTGTTCAAGATGATGAATTCAGCAATTACTACAATAGCATGGACAACAAATACAACATCAGCAAAGATGATCACAACAAGTATAAATCAGAATCTGATAAAAAAGACAAAGATGAAACATTAGTTGTTATGAATCATGAAGGAACTTTCTCCGCAAATTCAGAAAATGCCAAATTCAAAGCAGTCGAAAATTCAAAATCAAAACCAGTGGAAACATTAAAATTAAAACCAATGGTTGAATTAAAACAAAAAATTTTTGATGAAGAGGAAAATGAAATCATAGAGGAATCTTCAAAAGATTTCTTAAGAAAAGAAAAAGCTTGCATCAAAAAAACTGCTACCGATTGGTGGGAAAATAATGAAATTGATTCCCCTTTGACTTTGGACGATTTAACCAAAGTTAAAAGATGGGGAAAATCTAATGATAGAAATCTCGATTGGAGAGAAATTTCCTTGGTACAAACACAAGAAGTTTTAGTTGAAGAAGAATTATTACCAAAAAAACCAATTCAGAAATTGAATAATTATTTAGATTTTAGAAAAAGATTAGATATTCCTTTATGCATTAAACCTATGAAATGGCAACCAATTTTAGAAACTATATATGAAGAAGTTGAAGAACCTCAAAATGAAAATTATAATTCTGAAAATACATCAATAAATTTAGAAGACAGAATAAAAGAATCGTTTAATAATTTATTTAAAGGAAAAAATACCAATATATTTAATGAAGAAAAATGTCAACAATATTATGAGGAATTCGCTCATTTATGTAAAAAGATTGTGACAATTTTAGAAGAAGATCAAGAAGAAGAAGATTTATCATCATGTTATAACGAAACAGACAAAGAAGATGAAAATTATTTGACAGATGATGAAAAATCAAATGAAGATTACCAATCTAATTTTGAAGAAGATGAATCTTTATTATTATCAGAAGAAGAATATTCAGATTCAGAAAGAGAAACTTTTCTTTTCCAACCAGTGGAAAACGATATTATCAAAGGTATTGTCATGAAATGTCTTGACGATGAAATGAATTTAGCTGAATTAACAGAAATTGATGATAAGAAAGATGATGAAGAAGAATTGAATTTGTTTTATGAATTAGAATTTGAAAAAGTTTTGTTTGAAGAAGATGATGAAGATGATATCATTAAAGGTATTGTCATGAAATACCTTGACGAAGAAACAGAACATTCATTTTTAATGGTAAAAGGAAGATCAAGCTTTGATAATATGGTTGACGATGATGATAATAAATATGATGAAGATTTGAAATTATTCATCAAATTAGAGACTGAAAAAGTTTCTTTAGATGAATCATCATCATCAGATGAAGATGAACAATCAGGATGTTGTGGTGAAAATGTTTTGTTAGAAGAAGGAGACGAAGATGATGAAAATATTAAATCAGCCGATTCACTTCAGGTTAAAAGTGTTGTTTATAAGCCTGGTGATGAAATTATTAGAAAAATCATACAAAATGAGTTGTTAGAAAATATGGAAGATTTAATGAATTTCAAAACTCCTGTCAATTTTGGGAAATGAAAAACAAATGATTTAGATTGGTATGGGATGCTGCATTATTTTCTGGTTCTCAATTAAATTAAACTTTTTGGACAGTATTAGTCAAAGATTATCAATAAATACCTTAGTCCACAGAATCAGTAAAATTTATAATTTCAGGGCGGCACATGAACATTAAAAATACCACATGTCAACATTAGAAAAAAATCTAGCTATTTGGT